TAGCACAAAATGTGGAAGATGCTTTCTGGATCCTCATAACCAGATTTTTCCTGCCTCTTTGATAAATTTTTTTTTTTTTCCTAAAGTCTTCATACTGCATTTTGGCACCCTAAGAAGATGGAATAGGATTCTTCTGGAATGAGATGACTGACTCGAAAGTTCTTCAGTGAATACTTAAATCTCTAGGTAGAGACACATTTACAGCTAAGAGGAGCTTCTGACCTGATTTCACTTTCCAGGATCGTGACATATTTTACAGGCAGCACTGCAGGGTGCTGAACTAGCTGAACTAGAGTCCTAGCTGAACACCATCACTAGCTCTGCATCCTCAGGGGAAAACCACAGAGCCACTTACTTAGAGAGGGTTGAGTAGGCACAAATATAACAAGAGTCCAGGTGACATAGGGAATTCCAAATTGACAAAAGTTGAATTCTGTTTTCAGTTCTAGGAAAGTCATAGCATTAATTTTAATACTAAACAGACTGAATGAAAACTGAACCCTAATCCAGTTTTTAAATGTTTCCTTCCAAATTAAGTACAATCAATATGAACAAAGTGCTTTTCCACGAGTAGAATGAGCTGGCCTCTGCAACAAGGGCTCCTTGGCTAATAGAAACTCCCCTCAACTGAGAAGATTAATCAAGGCTCCTGTGAATACCATGATTAGGACTTCTGCACTCAGAACTAAGGCTGATGAATAGCTAACCAAATACAGGGTTCAGACAGGAACCGTGTTAAAGGAGTGAATGTGCACCATCTCATGACCAACTGCTGGATGATTCCAATTCCTTCCTGTAGTGCAGTTAACAAATACCCTTAGATGTTCAGATGAAAAAGACGAGTGTGAATTCATGGAGAACCTTAGTCATATCTCTGAGAAGTCAGAGGAATTTTCAGAAATGCTTCCGAATACAAAAGAGATGATGGAAACATAAAACCCAATGAATTCAACTGCTCTCCCTTTTTAATCAATTTTACACAATGATATTGTACATGAGTAATCACATTAGGAGACAGGATGGGTTTCCTGTACATATACAAGATGGTGCAAGCTCATTCACTGAGGCTTATAGGTTTTTATCAGTTTCAAGAGGAGAGGCAGTACAAAGCTGTTTCATACAGGTGAAATACAAGAATACAGTAGACAAGACAGAACATCAACTCAGCAGAGATGAATTCTTAAGGCGTGTGGCTCCTGCCCACACTGTCTGCCACGAACCAGGTGTAGAGGACTTTCTCTCCCGGGTATTTAACCTTCGATGAGCACAGGCCTGTGGGACATGCAGCTTTGTGATGATGCCACAGCTCAACCACAACCACACCAACCTTGACACTGAAGCAAAGCATATCTTCCTTTCTCCAAGTATTCTCAAGAGTAATAAAGCTATTCCTGGTCACCCTACTCCTTGGGTAACCTACATTCTAAAATATATGATTATTAATCTGGCAATTCTCAAGCATTTTGGCAAAGTATCTCAAATATCTCATCACTGTTCATCTACTCAACCAAAAATTCCTTGAGCTTCAAGAAGATCTTTTCTGACTTTCCCCCCGAAGTACGGCAATTACATATAGAACAAGCTTACTAAGAAATAAACAGGGCAGACTTTTCCTTACAAAATAAAAGCAGGAATAGAAAGGGAAGGGAAAGTCTAGGACACACACCAACAGAGGACATTGAGTCCATTAACGATTCTATCACTTCGACACAATCCACTAACAATTCTGAGCAAGTGTGTTCCTACTTTCATTTTTCACACCCAATCTCATCAGACACAGGAACTGTTAAATCTTCACGATGTTGATCTTCACTTGGCCATGGAATTCCCACAGCAGGCAATAGGGAAACAGTGCCAACAGGCATGCACAGTCGGCTACAGCTTCCTGTGGCCAAAACTAGACCGCGTCATTGCCTGGGACGGATTTTAGTTCTCTCGCTTACGTACCTCAGGAACATGTAGGTTGAAAGTCGACATTAAACAAAGGCTTCCAGGACACAACAGGGAAACAAAAACCCATGCATCTCATCCACATCTATTTTCCATTCTTCACAAAGCCTAACCCTCTTACAGTGATTTCATATCTGTATAAAACAGGCTTTATAAGCAGCTTTTTAAAAAGAAAAAGCAGGAGACATCAGTTAACTGTGGCTGAGATTTGACGTAGAGAAAGAAAACAAAATGTGTACTAGATTTAAAAATAATAAATTTACAAATAAAAGACAATCTTTAATCTGTAATTCTATTAACTGTCTCTAGAAGAAGGGTATTAATACAAAATATGAACTGATTTTTACATTAGATAATTCCACAGGATTTTAGTGAACACTTAACATTCATTATCTTTGTAAATTCCACATTGTAATTGGTGGCTACCAAAGGTGTGACTTTATATTTTTGCACAATCCTTCATATAACCTATGTACTGGGAGGAAGTGCGGTAAGAAACAGCTGAAGGACAACTATTCCTTTCCTGAAGGAGTAAAATCAGATTACTCCCTACCTCACACCCACCGCTGCCACACACACAGTCGTTTAGCCACTGAATTGTGTCTGACTCTACAGACCCAACGGACTGTAGCCGGTCAGGCTCCTCTGTCCATGGACTTCCCCGGCAAGAACACTGGAGCGGGTTGCCATGCCCTTCTCCTGGCCCAGAGATCCAGCCTGAGTCTCCTGCATTGGCAGGCAGATGCGTCACTGCTGAGCCACCTAGGAAGCCCACGCAGACAGTTCCCAGTTCCTCAACTCCGAACTCAACACTGTACTAAACACTGTTACAAAACTGTCAGTGACACTAACGCTGAAGCAGTCCTTACTCCCGACGGGCTTCAGAAGAAAACAGCTTAACCTTAAACAGCTGGGCTGTGCGCTTCTCTGCCGGCACCTGAGTCAAGACACAAGCACCCACCTCCATCTCGGATGTAACTGTGATGCCGAATCTCTGAGGTCCTCCTCTCACAACTGTCTCAAGCCCTGCAAAGCCCTACCCTCCTGCCTCCAGGGGATACAAACTCACCACCCTCTCCTCCACAGAAAAGAGCCCCATGCAGTGTCCACATCTTCATATTTATTTCCATAGTAACAACATGGAATAGAGTTAGTAACCATCATGGGGGCGAAAAATCCCATTGACTTATGAGTTAAATCCCCAAACAATAAATTTCAACTATTCCGAGTCTTCTGTTGACTTAACATTTATTCAATCAAATGCTGAACTCCCCCCTCAGCCTTAGAAATCATGTTAAGACAGTTTGTTTGTCTTGTAAAGTATCCATGATGGGATCTGACTGCTAAGACCTAAACGAGCTTGACCGTTACAGTCCATGAAGCATGACTGTACATAGAATTCCTGATCTAACGTTCAAGAGGACATTTTTCAGTACTACTTTAGTTTTGATCTGCCCCTAAAAGGCAGAAACCACATCTCACAATCCTCTGCAACTTATCTCAGTATTTTAGGGTAAAGGAATGAGAAGATGTCGAGGCAAAAAGAAAACCCAGCTTCTTTAGGCACAGTGGAGCACAGTTGCTGGAGAGAGGAAGCAGACAACCTCTGTCCTTATCTGCTCAAGGCTGTTGGTCACAGTTCCCTTAAACGTGCCTGGAAAGGCTGCCAGCAACAAGAGACTCAAAGGAGGGGACCAAGTTTCATAAAAGAAGTTAGACACGTTTAGGAAACATACAGAGCAAAACCAGTCAGTGATGGCCTATGTGTAAGACTTGTGCTTGAAGCTTTGGTGGGCCTCCTTGGCCTGTTTCTCAGACACCAAAACCCATTCCTGATTAATCAGCAACACACGATCAAACCAAAATACAGAAACACATACTTTTGTTCAGAAGAGGGAAACAAGGCACAGAAAACTGCCAAAATAGATTTTTCCCCATAAGAATAGTATGGTTGATTAAAATAGTTTATCACTAGTAAAACTTGTATCACTAAAGCAGACAATACAAATTAGTTTTTAAAAAAAACGACATTCACTGAATTCCTGGTCTGTGCATTCAATGTGAATCATCATCAAAAATATATTACAGTTAAAGGTTTGTAAGGAGTTCTGGCTGGGGTTTCTACACTGTATTTAGCATTTCAGATGAGAAGTACCACAAGGATGGATTAGATATCTACTGTTCCTTTGTATGTCACATATGATGATTAAACAAACAGTCTATCTCCTACTGCAGGCTCAAAGACGTCCAGGGTGAGAAAGTCTAAGTGATATATTCAATGAGTTCTATACCCCTCATCAAAGGCAGCCCTGTGCATCAAATTCCATACTTAGAAAGTTCAATAAACTGTGTTACACTTTAATAAATACTGTGTATTTGTTTGCCTTTTGCTTTTAAGCTCAGCTTAAATGTTGTCAAGGAAACCATTTCACAAGAGGGTACATGACAACCTACTATCAGCAATATTCCTTGTTTATTAGAATCTGAAGATGTCCATATTACATCAAATATAAATATATATCATATTTACATTTCCTTCTTAGCTTTTCAATTTAGGTGAGTGTATTTATAGATAATGCCACTAATGTCACCACTATTATAATCCTCAGTGCAACTGGTATTTTCCTTCTGTTAGATGCATCCAAGATTAGACAGCATCTTAAAAGAGGTGTACTGTTCTTTTTTTTTTAATGAAAAGAAAGAATGAGTATCCATAAACAGAGAGCTAGGAATTTTCTAGGAGATTTTGTTTTGCGCATTTTTTTTTGTATTTCAAAATACCTGAAAAATGTGGTCCCTCTTTGCAGTACTATTCTCTATGTGGGGACAAGAAATTAATGAAATATGCAACTCAGAAAGGAAAAGAACCCAAAGAAGAGAGAACCTGCTTGTTAGCTCATTAATCTGTTTAGTAAAGATCTGTTTTAAAAGGTCTGAACACTGTACAGTATTATACAAAAACAATCTTCAGCCTTCAAAGCAGCTGGTACGTCTTCTAAGATCCGTTTGCCCCGCTAACAGTCTGCTGACTTGGTGGGCCTTTGTCTTGGTCACTTTCGGTCATCGATAGTCTTAATGAATTCCACGGCTGCTGTGAACTGCATCCACCAATAGGACTCTTCTCCAGACAGACAGCTGGCATAAAAGCTACTAATGTACTGAACAGTGGACAGCAAACAGGGTGGATTTGCCTAGAGAAGTGAAGAATAAAGTCAATTACTCAGCTGCAAAAATCATTTATGGTAACATCTCTCAAATGTTTTTCTGTGAAAAAGAGATACAAGTCCTTTTGAAAATAATCCCCCAAATCCTTTTTGGAACTAATTCGTAAACCTGAGTTACTGTGAGGAGCAACAGTGTATTGGAAGGAAGACTCAGGTTCTAATCCTAGCTCAACTATCTAGAGCTTTCTAGCCTAACAAAGCACTTGACTTCACTGGTCCTTAGAGAGGCTGAACTAATCCCAGTGGCTTTACTCAACATCCCAGGATTCCAGAATGTTACATAAGGAAGGAAACACTGCAGACAAATTGAGTTGTAGACAAATTGAGTTGTATCTGTTTATGGGTATTAAGTATGTATATGTATTAAGTATGGGTAGAACCAGCCAAGAAAGAAAAAAAAAAAACTAAAAAAGAGTAGGCCCTCTGCTGCAGGAGGTAGCACAGAAAAACTCCTGCTCATTCACCTCCAGGTTCAGGTGTGTTAAATCCAGGACAAGCTAAGGCCCGTTCCTTAAAAGGGGCTTAGACTGGCTCTGCATGGAGACTAAGCACATCACCTGCGGAAGAGAGACGAGCAGTGGCCAACAGGAGGAGGGAAGAAGGCTGATCGCACACTTGATTCGGAGTCAGGGTTCTGACTCTGAGCTAAGAGTTCAGGTTGCAGAAATACCGCAACATTAAGAATTAGTAAGCTGTGTATCAAATACACTTTAGACATCACCAGCAGGCTGAGGTGACTGGAACTCATGAGTGAGGCAGTTATTGGGTGGCTGTTGTGCACCCAAACTGCAGGGTCCCCACCTCCAAACCAAATGTTCAAACTAAACCATTTAAATGGTGACACTTTAAAGTCAAAAAAGGACAAGAGGTGTCATTGTTTTTAAAACAGAGTAATTTTAAAAACAATGTGGCACAATTACAAAACATGAGGTCAAAAGAAGAGAAAGCTGACAGGAAAATGTAGCAGTTTATGTGACAACTACTATGAAGAATTCAACATGAAAAGAAGATGGTAAAAACATTATGACCAGAGAACCTGCCCTCATTAATTCATTCAGTACTTACCTACTGAGCTCCAAGCAAGACCTTCAGGCACTGCTTTAAAAAGCTGAAAATGTTCATCTAGGAATCTAGCTCTTTCTTTCTTTGGAAAACCCTAACTTCTGGATAGAACATAACTTGACGTTAGCTACTTTCTTCCTGGGTATCACAGAGCTGGAAACTGGTAAAAGAGTCAAAGTCTGTAACACCTGGAGACCCTCTGCACACCCCTCCGACTCAGGACGCCAAAGAAACTCTTCTCACGGTGGTAGCGAGGACCCACCTTGATCAACACAAACACCAGCACGGGGACAAAGTCATCTGCCCCTGGGACGGAGTCCTCGTTGGCCAGGCTCAGGAGGTTCATGATCGTGGAGCACATTCTCAGGATGCACTGCACTTTGTCCCGGGGCGTCTTGTAAGCACTTATTGTCCTGATTTCTGACTGTGCCGAGGGCCATGGTGCCTCCTTAAGATAAACCTAAACGAGACCACACACAGACGTCATTCGGGTCTTGGATGGAAGGCAGTGACCAGAGCAACCTTCATGTCAGGAGGTGGATGGGTGAAGCCGCTGCCTTTTCCTTTTTTCAGAAAAACCATATTTCAATTCCTCTCCTTCCTCCCACTTCAGGATTGAAGCCTAACTTTTAAGCTTTTAAATTATTTGCTTTACATTTTAAAATAAAACCACCCAGGGGAATTCCCTGGCCGTTGAGTGGTTAGGACTCTGAGCTCTCACTGCCAGGGGCCCAGGTTCCATCCACGGTCACTGGGGAACTAAGATCCCCAAGCTGCATGATGCGGCCCCAAAGGAAAAACAAACAAACCAACCCACCCACATATATAGTAATAGAGGCATATGAGAACACAGCCTAGAATTCATAAAATTTCAAACAATTATCTTTCTTAAAGAGCTAGAATGGGGCTTATCTATGTATCGCAGCTGATTCCAAAAGCACAGACAAGCTACTTTTAAAATAGCTTAAAAATTAGTATGTACCTGTGTTGCAGCAGCTCTAGAAATCAAGGACAATTAAAAATTTTATGCCAATTAATATCCAGATTCTAATGAAACAACCAGAAAACTCATATACCTAAAACTTTCCTGTTTTCTGATTTTGTAAGACAGGCAAAAATGTTTCAGGAACTAAAAGGTAATTCTGAGGTCACATTCAGATTCATTTCCCTCTCCTGGACAGGAGTTTTCAAACTTTCCTCGAAGTTCCACCAGATCCCTTCATATGGGACATTCCTGCAGAATGTTCTGGAAAGAACACTGGCTGTTGAGTGGTTATGATTCTGAAGCTCTGCATGACTTTATAAAAGCATCAGTGGAGAGCATGGCTGCCACAGGAGGAGTAAGCTGCAGGCAGGAAGCCCTGCCTAAAGGGGGTGGTGTCAGGGCGGGGGCTCCCCCAGGCTGGCCCTCCCTCCACTCACCTCTCACTACTAAGGTCCCGTCTCAGGCTAGGGAATTTTAATCCACGGAAAGAACTTTGAGAATTTAAATGACTGAATGACATCCAGTGCAAGTGGTGTTTTGTAACTTAGTATATTCTGCTTCCCTGAAAAACTGGTAACATGTACACAGCACACCAAGCCGCCTTTAACTGAATACCACCACCCATACTGTATAAACTGATTACCTCTGGTATCTGAAGAGCTCTGTGATTTGCAGTCACTACTTTAGACAATCTCTGAATATGTTCATGAAGAACCCTGAAAATGCCCCAAAACACATACGTAAATATATAATTCAGAAAAGAAGGTACACAGGTAGTCATAATCGGTTTTCTCAAAACACATTTAAACCATTTTAGACTTACTTCTAGATACAGATTATCATTACAGTTGAGACTCTCTTAGCTATAAGTATTCTGTCCTGGTAAAAAAAGACTTTCTCATTTAGGATCTGCTTAGAAAGGCTCAGTGAACCAAGGGGATGCAGGCAGAAGAGTGGGAACCCTCCTTTCTGGACCAGGGCAGCATCCACGGGAGAGGGGAGGGGAGCCCTTAGCCTGCAAGCTACCTGAACAAACTAACTGGTGAACAGACCAAGAAGTGCAGGGGTCAAAGACCAGAAACTGGAGATCACAGATGCTTTGACGGAGAAGGGACGCTGAGGACGCTCACCTCTCATTTCAGAGATGACAATAATTAGGCCTAAAAAGGTGAAGGATTTCCCTAAGACCACACAGTGGTTAGCAGCAGAGGCTAAACCCAGTTTTCCTGCCTTTGAGTTTTCTTTCCAGAACACAGTGCTAACTCTCTATAAACCTGCAAAGATGACAGAGAGGAGAGAGAGGCATAGTCGGCTTCAAAGATGCTCTCCGCAGCAAGTGGTTTGAATGTCCCCATTCTTCATCTTACCCTGGAAGCCAAAAACTGGGGCTCTGGAGAGAAAACAGAACCCAGTTGGCAAACTGTGTACAGAAACTTGGGTGGGGGGGGGGGGGTGGTAAAAAGCCCCTAAGACTAGGAACAAGTGAGAGAGGCAGGTGGGAACGATCCTAACCCATCACAGGAAAGTAGGCTCTCTCAAACATACATGAGATATCTTAAAATTTCCATGAAAAAAAAAAAATCTTACAGAAACCACCAGTGTCCCACCCTGAGGTCCAATTACATGGGCCACTCAGGGTTGCTAGCACAGTGAGCCACTGTCACTGCTGGGGGTACATGGCGGCCACTGAGCAACACACGTGGGGGCAGAAACCAGGTCATAAATCAGGGGTCAAGAAAATGCAGAAGAGGAAAAAATTAAAATGCTGAGTCTCACTACCCCCAAATAATCACTGTTACCCTTCTAGATATTTTTTTCAAGATGAATATTTTTAGGATTGTTTTGAAAAATAGGTTTTATTGAGACTTAATTCATATGCCATACACTTCTTGATATTTTGATATTCAAATACATATCATTCCCAATAAATAAAAAGTACATATCAGAAGTCACAGACTGTGCTTGATGCCTTGATGGAGAGATGAATGAAGCGTTGTGTTCCTGCACTCACGGAAGGAACCACCCAGTGGAGGACAGAGGCGTTCATCAAACAATCACACAAGCCAGTGATCCGGAACGGGGTGGTTCTGCCCCCAAGGGGCGGGCACTTGGCAGTGTCTGGAGACAGTGTGGTTCTCACAGTTGGTGGGTACCAGCCAGGGCCAGCCATGACCTACAAGTCCCACAAGCCACAGGGCAGCCCCCCACATTAAAGAATCATCTGGCCCGAAATGTCAGCCGTGCCAGCTTGAGAAACCACGACTCCAATGTAAAACTGCAATGGTGGCACGTGCTAAAGAAAGGTACCCAGGCCTGAGGCAGCGCTGCCAGGGCATCTCACCCAGACAGACAGGCTAGGAAGGGTTTCCCCCAAGGAAATGAGGTCTGAGTCCTGATCTGAAGGGTAAGGGTAGGTAGAAGAAAGAAGGGAAGAACAGCTGCAGCAGTGCCTTCCACAATGGCCAGACCAGTGTACACGGCCCTCCAGCCCGATTCCCCGCATCTCTGAGAACAGAGCACTTTCCTTCTGTGCCGTCTGGTAACTCTGAGAGGTGAAAAAAGGACCTATCTTTTCCTTTACTACTCAGATATTATGTCTCACAAACAGCTTGTCTAAACTACGGGGGCTGGCCGGGATAGTCCTACTTAGTCCATCAGACAGGAACACTCACTGGTCACGGAGTATGTCCCCGTCCTGATTCGGGTAGAAGGCAAGTTTGAAGATCCGGTTCATCACACTTCGCTCGATGGCCAGCTGAGCGTCCTGAAGCTGTTCCTCGCTCGCGTTCTGCCATATGACATCCTGGGCCATCGCGCCGTACAGGAACTGCAGAAAATCTTCCACCTGGGCGGTTTTATCATCAGCGGCTGTGAGTTTCTGAAAGTCTCCAATGCAAAATAATACATTTTGAAATAGAGTATTTGAACGATTTTAAATTGGAAATTATTAGAAAGGAGTTAAAAACAGAAAACTATTAGAATCATAATCCACTAGCTGTGCAGCTACTATGCTCTCAAAGCCCGAAATATCTGGGCATGGTTTCACTTGGGGAGAAAATACATCCAAATCATTAAAAACAGAAGAAAGGTAAGACACGTGTAGAAGTTTAAGAACAAGAGGTTTGTTACAAAATGATATGCTTTGTTTGAGAAAAAAAAAAGAAAAATTGGATGCATCCAAAACTTTGTTAATTTTTCCAACTTTTTAATAAACTATAGATATTCAACCAGGATAAACACGACATTTATTGGTTGAACATCAAGGTTTAATTACTAAGAAATAACTGGGAATTTAAGGAACTGCTCTTAGACAGGTAGGTACTTAAAAAGCAGTAAGAGAAAACTTCTCAAATTTTCCCGCTGACATACGGCTTCACCGAAGGGTCTCTGGTTACCTTGAATGAATTCCCTGATCTTCTTCTCTTTGCTCTCAAGCAGCAATCTCACACAGACGGTGGTGAAGTATCGATTGGCCACCTCTTTGTCCCGCAGAACCCTCTGCAGTAGCCTTTCCAGGTGAGCCTGCGTGGTCTGCAGTCCTTGTCGACAGCGAGTGAGGTAAGCAATGTAGGGGGCCCTCTTCCTAAAAGGAAAGACGCTCTGCAGGACACCAGACATACACAGTGCACAGTTTTTTTGGAAACTAAGAGTCCTGATTTTTCTCTAAAGGAAAATACTACCTCAAAGACTCTGGTTTTACAAATGAGCCTATTGGGCTGCAGACAACCATCCTGAGGACTGATTATGTTGCCAGGTCAAGAAACAGAATCAGGACTTCCCTGGTGGTCCAGTAGTTGCAAGTCTGCCTGCCAAAGCAGGAAAACACGGCTTCGATCCCTGATCCGGGAAGATTTCACATGCTGAGGGGCTATTAAGCCTGCGTGCCACAGCTACTGAGTGAGTGCTGGAGCCCACGTGCTGCAACTCCTGAAGCCCGCACACCCTAGAGCCCGTGCTCTGCGACAAGAGAAGCCACCGCAATGAGAGGCCCGTGCACCACAATCAGAGAAAGCCCTCACGCAGCAATGAAGACCCAGTGCAGCCAAAAATTAAAAAAAAGGAAGACAGCAGAAAACAGAACCAGATGCAAGGATACAATGTACACTACAGAGAATAGAACCAACATTTTTTTTTTCTTTTTTTCTTTTTTTTTTTAAATTAATTAATTTATTTTTTTTATCACAACCATAGTGTATCTTTTTTTTTTCTTTCTTTTTTTTTTTTTACATGTATTCCCCATCCCGGTCCCCCCTCCCACCTCCCTCTCCACCCAATCCCTCTGGGTCTTCCCAGTGCACCAGACCCGAGCACTTGTCTCATGCACCCAACCTGGGCTGGTGAACTGTTTCACCCTAGATAATATACGTGTAGAACCAACATTTTATAACAACTTTAACTGGAATATATTTTTTAAGAAGAGAGAATTACTGTGTTGTACACCTGAAACTAATTTAACATTGTAAATCAACTACACTTCAATTTAAAAAAAAATAAGAAAGAAAGAAACAGAACCGTTCTGCATGTGTGTGAAGAATATCATCTACTGGTCTGAACACTCAGCTCCCTAACTCCCTAAACACTACCAATTCCCTTCACATTGCTGGTCTGTTCTGTACTGGAGCACAGTCTCCATGCTGGTAGAACCCCGTACTTAAGAGAAAGTTGACTGCTACAAGACTAAAATAACAACAAAATACAGGTTTATATACCGTCAGATCATTAAATATACCACTAATTATCTGCTTATATTCTAAATGCAACAACCATTAGATCACACATTCCCTAAGCCTCTTTACTTCCTAAGCTTCTCAACTTAAATGTCAGCAACAACAGGCAACAGGCAGACGGTAACAATTCCTGGGATTCCTCCTGCTTCCTTGGTCCACGGAAGCAGTCTTTTCTATCACCACTAAAAGAGGGAAATGACATCCTAGTTATCCTGGCCCCACCTCCACCCAAAAGATGCTTTTGAGCAAAGCTGAAGTCAACTGTACTCTGTTAGTAAGATCTGAGTGAGTGAGTGAGTAAAAGGTGCTCAGTTGTGTCCGACTCTTTGCGATCCCATGGCCTATACAGTCCATGGAATTCTCCAGGCCAGAATACTGGAGTGGGTAGCCTTTCCCTTCTCCAATGATCTTCCCAACCCAGGGATCAAATCACACTGCAGGCAGATTCTTTACCAGCTTGGGCCACAAGGGAAACCCAAGAATACTGGAGTGGGTAGCCTATCCCTTCTCCAGCGGATCTTCCCAACCCAGGAATCGAACTGAGGTCTCCTATATTGCAGGCAGATTCTCTACCAACTGAGCTATCAGGGAAGCCCTTGTAAGAGCTGCTCACTTACAACTACACTTCTAGACTAAATATCCACATATATTGGATATATATATGTTGGAGATATATATATATATATATATATATATATATATATATATATGTTGCTTGGAAATCTACATCCAGGAAAGCCCAGCACTTTGCAGTGAGCCTAGATTCATTTCTGAAATAAGGGCTGAGAAGAAAATACTTGCAGCTGAAAACAGGTGTACAAGTGAAACAGGCTGGGGATGTTACCTGTAGTCCTCGGCGATAGAAGCCAGCAGCTTCCTACAGGTCCGGTTATCAAAGCGGCACACACAACGCATTGTTTCCTGAAGCTGAGCCATTAAGTTCTTATCTTGTAAGTTAATTGCTTCAGCTATTTGCACTTTTAAGAAGCAGACAATTTCATTGTCTAAATAAAAAACCATCAGAATTCTGTTACTGTTGAGAAGTTCCAGGGGCTTTATATAAGCTGAAGGTCATCCCTCAGCCTGTGGGATGTCAGTTACGACTGTATCAGTAAAACCCAGCAGAACCAATCAGAGAACATTTTCACAAACCATCAGTAATCCAGGTGCCCTTAACTGATGCTAATATAAATGTGTTAAGTTGAACTGGATGGAACTGCTGTATAGTTTAAATACAGTTGAATACTGGCAGTTTCATATGGTTCGTATAAAGCATAAGAAAAAAATAAACTCTCAAGTAGCCACCTACCTTCTGGGTCTGTATGGTCTGGTAAACCGTTTCTTGTTGAGTGGGTTAGAACTGGGAAAGCCACAGAATCCGCAGAGCAAAGAGCGAGCCTCAGTTTCTTTTTTGCATCTCTAAAGAAACAGATGAAGATACAGTCATTTCTTTGTCCAGATATGGTCACATTCTATAAACTATTATCATATTTACTATACAAATTAATGGGCTTCCCAGGTGGTGCTAATGGTAAAGAACCTGCCTGCCAATGCAGGAGACATAAGAAACACAGGTTTGATCCCTGGGTCGGGAAGATTCCCTGGAGCAGAACATGGCAACCCACTCTAGTATTCTTGCCTATAGAATCCCATGGACAGAGGAGCCTGGTGGGCTATGGTTCATAGGGTCACAAAGAGTCGGATACGACTGAAGCGACTTAGCACACACACACATACACAAATAGGCTAGCTCAGGACTCAAATGTTTCAAACGGTCATAAATAAAAGATAACTTTTAACTCACTGACACCTCGCTTAAGGAGTGGGCTTTCTGGTTATCTGAGAAGCAAGGATGTAAAGGTGCTCTGAGTAAGGACTATTTGGTAAAATCACTAGAATCAAACAAATCCTTTCTGACCTTCCAACATCCACTGAATTCTATGCTAAATGTGATGATGAGTCAGAAAGCCAGATTTTGCCCAAGCTGGGAAGGAATCAATATAAGTCATAAGGACCATCTCAGCACCCAAACTAAGGAAGCCTTCCACCACATCTCTCAAGAAATGTTGATCCTGCCACAAGACAAGCTTGTGACAAGAAGACCTTTCTGTTGCCCTGTTGATCAAAACTTTGTATTGAGCCAAAACCCGCTCAATTTCTGACCACTGAACCTCCTGCTCCCACCTGGCAGAGCACCCTTCAGCAAGACATCCTCCTCAACAACACAGCCCTTCATCCTGGGAGGGTCTTGGAGGGCAGGGACCAGAGCTTCTTCAGAATGGCTGAGGCTGCCTCCCAAAAAAAGGAGTTGAAACACCTCCGAGAGCATGCCAGAGTTTGATCCTATTGCAGGATTATCACTTGTTCACCTCACCTGACTGGTTCTGAGACCCGCCTTAATGGTTTACTTCCTTGGAAATGAGTAACTTACGAATCAACTCAATCAACTGTAATATTTGCCTACTTTGTAGACTCCGAATCTATATAAAGCAGTGAAGTCATGCCTGGAAAATAATAATTGTCTTCCACTACCCCCCACCCCATTTTACCATAGGAAGAAAGTATAAAGCTCCATAATATTTAATGATAAAATGATATGTACAGCATAGGGAAAATAGTCATTATTTTATGATAACTATAAATGGAGTATAATCTTTTAAAATTGTGAATCACTATGCTGTACCCCTGAAACTTAATATTATAAATCAACTATACCTCAATAAAAGTAAATAAAATGATATGCTATTAAGAGTTTGCTTAACTTAAGCGGGGGAGGAAGTAAACATGAAACAATACTGGCCATGTATTAGTAACAGTTAGATCTGGGGAACAGGTACATCACTGTATTTTTCCATTTTGTACAAGCTAGAAAGTTTCTAAAATAAAAAGTTTAAAAAGATAGAAAGACAGAGACAGAAATGGAGAGATGGACAGATGATTAGTGCTTTAAAACTAATAATCCTGGGGCTTTCCTGGAGGCTCAGTAGTAAAGAATCTGCCTGCCAATGCAGGATTCAGGAGTTCAATCCCTGATCCAGGAAGATCCCACATACCTTGGAGCAACTAAGCCCGTGCACAACTATTCAGGCTCCTAAAGTCATTTTCTCAAACCGTGTTAGAAATTGAGGGAATGAGGAAGATGACAAACTGGGAGGGCTCCAGTAGGCTTACTGCGGAAGTGGGTTACTCAACAACATGTGGTCCCTGTGAGCCCATGAGGTTTGCTTGGTTTTTCATTCTCTGAATTAAAGCCTTTGATATATGACATCCACAGGGCGAGCAAAGTCTTCTCAGCGCACAGCCTTCATTCTTACCTCTCTGCTTTACATATTTATCAAGGGACTCAAAGAAACACCTGACTTGAAGTGACTGCAATGGTGATGAAAAATTCAAACCCAAAGGTTCTAAATCATATGAAAGAAATACCTGTAAGAGAAGGCTGAATCCTGAGGGTGGGCCGCTTGGCTCGCGGAATCCGGGAGATCGTCAGCGGAGATGTTCTGCAGGGTTTCGTCACGAGGGGAGTCATGTGCACTTTCACCATCGCCCATGACTTCTAAACAAATCCCACCCCCCGCAGAAAGGATAAGCAAGTTAATCCGGAATATTCTGGCACTGGTAGGTATTCAGAGCAACTCAACAATAAATTAAGCTGTGCCTTCCAAAAAGAGTTCTTTGAGAGAGAAAGGGGAAAAAAAAGGAAACTTCAAACACGTAAATAAACTGAGAGCAATGATAATATATCAAGAGAAAAGGTGAGAATAGTTTTACTTCTTACCCAACTGTAATCCAAAACAATTAAAACCTTTATTAACTTAATAAAGATAATACTCTGTAATAACAATCACTGAATCACAGAACTAAAAGGGGCCTCAGAAATTATTTCACGTATAACACCCTCGTTTTATAGATGTGGAATTCCTGCCCAGTCAGGAAGCAGCTGGCTGTGACCCCCTTGGCCAGGCCACACTGAGACCCCTCATCCTCACTCCAAGGGACCCCCCCCCATAATCCTCCCCGCCTGAGAATGAGCTGGGGACAGACTCACAAATGCAGCCAGCACAGACCTATGGTGCCCCACAGTTGTTTTTATGTTTCTAATTTATCAATTTAGATAATACATGCATGTATGCAATCAAAACAAATGAAAAGTTCCTTAGTGTAATAAAGATATTGTGCCTATGTGGAAAAAAAAAATCTCTATTCTTAGGAGATCATTTCAGATGTTTCAGGAAAAAAATACATATAGAAAATGTGGCAAAACCTTAACAACTGATAAGTCTAGGCAGATGGAATATAACAGACTTTCACTGTACTATTCCAACTTCTTTGTTATTTTAAAACTTAAAAGTGTAGGAGGTTTGCTCAGGCTCCTGTGAGTCCCCCTTGAGCCAACTCATGTTCAGTCTGTCAGAGACTCTTCTTATTGTCAGAGACAATATTAATCTTGGGGACTATACCATGGTTTTTTTGACAACTATTTACGGGAGCTACTAAAAGGCTACTTGGAAGAATGGATACATGTGTATGTATGGCTGAGATGCTCTGCTGTGCATTGTCAACTGACTATGCTCCAATATAAAAGAAAAGATTAAAAAAGAAAGAGGCTACTTTCAGTTCAGACCGCTTTCATGGCAGTGATATAAAAGTTCCTATTCCATTCTTTATCAGGATGGTCACCTGCACTTTCGTAGTTTGCCAGCGCTCCCTCACTGGGGCTGGTGCGTTTGATGGCATTCCTGTATTTGTCCAGAATATCCTCAGCGACCTGAGCCTGTGCACTGAGTCTCGGGCTGGGATCATCTGCGGGAGGAAAAGGAGAGGAGAATTAGCGCCCCTTGGTTTGCACCCACTCTGATGTTAGTACGACACCAGTAGCATAATCCCAAAGGCGGATTAGGAGGTAAGACGTAAAAAGAGCACATATCTCAGTGTTATAAGAGGCACCATGCAGCTGCCTACTCATCCTAGGTCTGAGAGCCTTGCCAAGGCACAAAATCAGGATGATTAGCTCCACTTTCTCATCATCGTCAGATTTCTGCATGACATTGTCAAACAGTTCAGTGCAGACTGAATGGATGATGGGATTCTACAGTGTTTACACTCAAATCACTGTTATTAGCAAGGCATGCTAACAGAACTTCCAACAAAGCATTTTTATATGCAGGCTTCATTTATTCAGACATCTCTATGCTGAAGGAGGAAAAAAACGTATTCAGACTTAAAACTTAACCCTTTTAAATACTTTTAAATGCCTTCCTCCACTTTTCCTTCATGAATTTTTCTCTCTACACCGTATTTAAAACCTTCAGATAATTCATATTCTATCTCACTGGATCTCACCATGACAGTTACAGATGCTGGACTAGAGAGCACTTTCGTGCATGCAGTCGTGTCAGAGGTGCTCCCAGAGAATCTAGACATGCTGGGAGAGTGCTTGAATTGTACCTGGGTACACAGAGAAAAGGTTTACCACCATCACAGGTGCAGCCCTGGTTACTGACAGGCCCACTATCCTGTCAGCAAAATAAGCACATCGGTATGTTTTCCTGGAGTCAGATGGCAGAGTCACTAATTAACAGTTAACAAAGCAAAGAAGTGCTACAGATCTATGGGACAAAACATAGTTCCACGGTGAAATGTAAATTCCTGAGACAGACCTAGGCCAAGCAAGTAATATCACACTCTGGTAGAATCCCATTTTTTAAAAAGTCTTAAAACATATATAAAAAAAAAAAATCACTAGAATTTATATATTCCTATGTGTTAACGGCAGCTAATGTGACTAGCAGCTAACATTTATTGAGCACTTACCACGTGCCAGGAACTGTGCTAAACAATAACCCTACAGGGAGGTACCATTACCACCCTATTTTTAAGAAAAGGAAATTAAAGTAGAAAGAGGTTAAGTGGTATGCTCATAGGCTCTTCTTCTCTTTCCACAAAAAACAATATTTAGTGTTCGTGTCTCTGTGAAATTGTGGTAAACTGTAGGGAGAAACAACTGCTGAAATAATTTAATTTCTGCTATAATAATTTGAATGCAAGGTAAGAGAGTCCTAATAAAACATGATCTTCTTCAAAATGCAAACTTACAAAACCTTTATTGTTACAAAATCTTCTTTCTGCTATTGGTTTTGAGTGCTGTTGAAGGCTCTGAAAAAAGGCTAAACATAGTGAAAGCAATAATGTTGCTTATAACCTTTATTTCTATAATGCCATTAAAAAAAATTTACCTGAGGACAATAAACAAGAACAAATAACTAAAACATATAAAAAATATTATATGTACAAGGGGATGAGTATTCCAACTTATCTTAGTTTTTCATAGTAAAAAAAAATTGCATATGATTAAACATCCAAAAGCAAAAGAATGGTTTACACTGCCATAAAATCATGATAGATGATCTAAGAGCCAATAATGATTAAAAAGCCACCTACGTCTAAGGGAAACTGGGAGAGGGTTTATGAAATAACATGTAAAAGGATACAACTCTGATTTAATCATGAAAAATCATATCTAGATATGGAAAGATTCAGAGAGAATATGAAAAAAAGAAAAGTTAAGGTGGTGAGATGATGGACAGACTGTTAAGAAATTCATAACATTTAAAAAAATTGATTTAGTGATACTTCTCACTGAGTCATTAATTAAGAGTGGGTAGAAATTTCTGTACCAGTAGGGCAGCTAAACTGCTTGAATCAAACACAAACAAAATGAAATATTTTATGGGAAAAACTTAAGTCAACTTAGCTTCTCCTTTAGGCACTAAGAACTAAGAAAAATGTATTACCTAAAGACACAAGTGAAAAATAATTTAAAACTTCTCCAAAGTTACTAATTCAAACATTTTGAAAACCTGAGATTTCTTCATTGAGTAGTCCACTCTGTAAATTGTGGTGGTGTTCTAAAACGAGGAGCATGGTAAGAAAACATGAAAATCTTGCCAAAAGGATGCCTTTCCAATTCTTCTCAATCAGACTAAGTGCCAAGATTCATGTGTGATTTGACTTAACACCTACAACCCTTAGCACAGTGCCTGGCATGAGTCAGATGTTCAACAAGTATTTGCTGGTTGAATGAGGCCTGACTGCTCTCAGCAGGAAACCTGGCCTGAAAGCACAGCTACTGCTGTTAAAAACCCTTTATTCCAGGGAAGTCATTTCATTAAATAAACAGGGAGGTACGCTGGGACATGGAACTGCCTACATGTATTTCAGAGCTAGACATGACAGTGCTATGCAGTGAAATGGGATTCTACCTGTACTATGCTGAGCTCTTTGAGGAGGATGTTCTTTTGAAACTTATCCCGTTTTTAAATAAAAACCTTCACTTTACCTGAGTAGGATAACAAATCATTTAAAATCAACATAAGAAAAAGAGAGATGAGAAATTAATTTCCCTCCAGGTGCTCTGCAGTCACTGGAGGCAACACACAGCTATCAAACTCAAGGTCGGGTTGTCAACACTACCTCTCACACTTTTTCCTTTTAGTGTTCATTTATAATATGCCAAAAAGAAGCTGCAAAAATACAAATGCTGCATGAGGTAAGAACCCAACCCCTAGTTATATTTTCCTTGGGTCAGATAGCAATGTTAAAATGATTCAAGCTGTAAAAAAATTGGTCAAGTTTACAAATCTACTGATACTGTTTGAACATGTCTCAGGGAAAAAAGGAAATGATTAGGTAAAACAGAATTTCAGTGACCCTGAATAATCAAGAACTATAGATGGAAATAAACTGAGACTTCTACAATCAACGTTAAAGAAAACTACTGCCAATGATCCAAAGATACAGCATGCACAGCGCTAAAACCGTCACCACACTTTCCTCAAAGGCATGGGAGGTCATCATCCCACTAAGATGTCGGGTGCTAGGGCAGGCCCAGAGGCTCAGGGTCAGGGACCTCATCATAAACGGAAGTTATGACAATGAGGATGATGATGGTGGTGGCGGTCTGCAGGAAGAGCACACTGTGGCCGCCAACTGGAAACCACAGAGCTATGAAGAACATACTCCCCACTGTACACACACAGACACACTCGTCTAAAAAGGCAACGTTTATGGCACCCAAGAGAAAGTGTTATGAAATATGTGCTCTGGGAATGAAGGAGCCAGGAAGTCCATGGGTCTACAAACCTGTGAGTGTTGAGAATCTGTCAGGCCCCAGATCATCTTTGTCTTTTTCTTGTTTTTCTTTCTTTCTAAATGGTATAGGAGCTGGAAATTAAATAAAGTCAGTAGTGTGACATATAACATACTGCACTACTCGGCAGACAGCAGTCATTCTGGAGTTAACTGGTGTGCCAACATTTCTAAGTGGAAGGAAGGTGAAAAGTTTAAAAGCTAAGAAATCCCGAGTGTCCACTGATTATCATTCTTAACATAGCATTGAAGGTTCTTAGAGAAGTTTTCAGAATCTGCTTTGAGGTCATCTGCCACAGGAAGAAGGATTTAACAGGAATCTATTGGGACTGAATCAAAACCACTGCCTCTTAACCTTTGCTCAAAAAAACACAACACATTCAAAGTTCTGAGCCTCATTCTCTCCTCCTCTAGTGGGCTTGAGTCTGGAGTGAAAGCAGTGCTCCTCAGCTCCTTGAGCACCACAGTGCCAAGAAGAGGCCTTCAGAAGAAGCCCTTCCCTTTAGTCCTGGATAATCTCTCCTTCCTGGAAGAGATGCTTTTGCCAACTCAGATTTCAATACCTATTGGAATGATGCCAGGCTATTCACACACAAAAAAGCGAACAATGCTACACAACTGCCTTCCAGAATAAACACTAATATTCAGGGTATTATCATTCTCAATGATTATAAACATAAGAAGCTTAAGTTTATTCCAAGAAGGTAAAGAATGAATTTTCAATGTTTGTTTATTAAGAGCATCCCTTTTTCCTGCAGTAATTATTAGCAATACATATGTCAAAAGTCCTACATGTTTAACTTCAATGGAATATAATATTTAAAAAACTGTGACCTGCCTGACTTTCATTTATGAAACCACTGCCACTTCCTGCAAAGAACAGGAACTATCACTTCTAAAGCTGTACCTTAGCATTCACCTGAGTAAAAGCATTTTCTATAACCTCAAAACAGCACGAAATTAGGCCCCGCGAGAATCACCTGGAGGAGTTGAAATTTTAGCTCTCTGAAAGAGATTCAGGGGCTTTGCTTCTTGTTGCTATTATTGCATTCTGATATCTTATAAAATTACCTTTGGGCATGGCAGAAACAAAACGCTTTCTCCACCAAGGTCTGTTCCTGTCTGATTTCTCATCATCGCTATCTTTGCGTTCTTCAGTCTGTAGAAAAAGTTTGATGTTTTATTTGTAGGTGGACAGCAGGATAAATTACTATGAAAAGGATTTTAGTCTGTGAAATACAAAAACCACTCATTTGTCTTCAGAGCAAAAATGTTCTTATTGTGGTACAGGCAGCTTCTGGAACACAGACGTATACCTTTCAAGCACTAGACTGATTGATTACTTGAGGGTAGGCATTATCTCACTACTGTTGGTAAGCCAAAAGGGTAATAGAGTCCAGTATAGAGTAGGCACTCAATAAACACTCATAAGGGATGACTAAATGCAATGCAGATGAAATCTAGAGATTTGGAGAGATGGTAGCAGTAGTATTAATAATAAAACTAAGTATGTGTGTGCCAAACACTGAATGAAGAACATGTATTACCTCATTTAAACTTCACAGTAGCCTGTGGGTGCTAAGTGGCTTCAGTCATGTCTGACTCTTTGCAACCCCATGGACTATAGCCTACAAGGCTCCTCTGTCTATGGGACTCTCCAAGCAAGAATCCTGGAGTGGGTTGCCATACCCTCCTCCAGGGTATCTTCCCGACCCAGGGATTGAACTTGGGTCTCCTGCATTGCAGGCAGATTCTTCACCGTCTGAGCTACCAGAGCAGCAAAAGCGCTTAACAATAATATTTATAGTCTTAGGAGATAAATATTATTACTAAGCCCTCTTTATAGATGAGAAATAAGAGGCTAAAAAAGGTTACCTCCCCACCTTCCCCAAAGTTATATAGACTGGATGTGGCACAGTAGCTCAAAGCTAGATGTGACCAATTGCAAAGCTGATGCTTTGATCATCAATTTGAGTTATCGTTAAGACTACATGTCAAAAGGCAGGGACTACACAATTCCTTTACTAATCTATGATATGACCTTAGACAAATCATTTTGTTTTTCCATCTACAAAATTGGAACTAAAAATACCTTCTCTGAAGGCCTCCATGTCAAAGGGATCTCAGAACCTAAGAAGGGAAATGAGGGCACCCAGGGAGGGTTCAGTGGTGTGGGTGGGATATTCATTACACACAGGGAGACTCATCAATTAAGTATCTACACGAAGAATCACGAAAGCAGGCTTTTCACTGCTGGAGAAGGGAACTGCAAACACAGAATGAGAGACATGAATTCTGCTGTTTTTGAACTGGAAATGCTTCTCTACATAGAAAGATAGAGAAATATGCCCTGGAGCATCGGGTTGGCACCTGAGTCTCACAAGGCTGGGGGAGGGAGGCTCTGTGTGTCTCATTCTAACTTTTTATAACTCTGTGAGTGTTGGAAAATTAAAAATAATAACTTATTGGATAAGAAAAAAAAGTAGTTCCTCTATCCATCTCTGAAGAAAACTGTGAAGTTTAAATGAGATACAAAATCGCTTAGAGAAAAATTTAAAGTATCATAAAAATGCAAGATACATTACTACAAAACCAAAGTAGAGGTTTTTTTTTTTAATGGGTTAAGGTGCTGGACATACCAGACTGACAAATGACCTTTAGACATGAACACTGTCCCTCCTTCACCCTAGATTTATATATTCCACATTAATTTCAGGTATCAAGAGAACAAGGCAGATGGAACACTAACTGTAGCTGACCATAACGAGCAAGGTCTTCTGCACGGCCTGTGTCCCGTACCTCTCCTCTTGAGGAGTCCTTACTCGGGGATGAAGATGAAGAGTGAGGCGCAGCCACCAAAGAAGTAGCACCAATGGCTGCGGCTGGAGGGAGTTCCCGCTCTTCATTCCCTGGGCGTCGGTTCCAGCTGGGGTCGCTCATCGGGCGCCGGACAGAAGACACAACGTCAGAGCTCCTGCTGCGAACTAATCTCTCAGGGTACGAGTGCCTTTGTTTAAACGCCTCCATCTCAGCTGGAGTCAGGATATGGGAACCGAAGGTAGGCAACCTGGCCTCGTTTCCTCCCACAGCTCCTTCCAGGATCGGGGGGTCTGGGGGTGGGTGCGACGGCCTGGCATAGTGAACCTTCGGCCTTACCACAGCAGAAGCTCCCCCTGCAACACAGGAAAAAACGTTCTCAGCTGAGACACAACTGATCCCAAAAGGCATGAACAAAGGGGTTGTAGTCTTGCTCTTCCGGCTGTGATAAACAGGGGTCAGAAAGTCCACCTGACTACTTTACCTTCGTGCGAAGACAATGGATCAAACATGGCAAGCAGAGACTCTGACTGAGACGGAGGAGAGGTCAGCTGGTGGGCACCTGAAAGAGATGAGCAGACGGTGTGACCAAGTCAGAAGTCATGACTCAGAGGCAGTTTCCACACAGCGAAAATGGCTCTCTCTTCCACAGTCTTCCTTTTTGACCAATTAGAACTTGAGGGCATACCAGAAAAAACAGAATCTAATAAACAGTATATTCAGATTACATCATATTCATTTTAGGTTTTTATCTACATACGTGGATTTTAATTATGTTTAAGTGGTCCAGTATCCACATGCCTATTACTTCTAATGGCCAAATTATATTACGGTTACTGCAAAGAGTGGAGCCAGAAGATGAAAATCATCAAAACTTTCAGAATGCTCTCAGTTTCCTGACTCCACTTTGCCTTCACCTATAAAGAGACAATACTACCTACAGAAGAAGCATAAATTAAAAGTTGTAAAACCTGAAATACACTATTGTTCTCAGCAAAAGAGAACTCAAAGCAAAAGTGAGTCAAGCTACGTTATACCACAAAACAAACTTGAACAAATATGTTATTTTAAAGCTACAGAGTAAAAGATGATTCCTCTGAGCATGAGTGCTCAGTCATGTGTGACTCTTTGCGACCCCATGGACTGTAGCCCACCAGGCTTCTCTGTCCATGGAATTTTCCAGGCAAGAATACTGGAGCAGGTTGCCATTTCCTAGTCTAGAGGATCTCACCAACCCAGGGATCGAACCCATGTCTCTTGCATATCCTGCATTGGCAGGCAGATTCTTTACGCCTGTGCCACCCGGGAAGCCCCCTCTTAGCATATGTCTAAACAATCAAAATGAGAGAATATTAAAACAGATAAGTAAGCAGAGACTAAAACTCACAAATATATAAAAGAAACTGTTGCTCTGAGTCTGAGTTCTTTTTTGATAATGAATGACAGTATGATTTTTCCATTTGATTTTTCTTTTGTCCTGTCTTATAATTACTTTCCTTTATAAAAATTACAGAAATAGTTTATCATTAGGAAAGATATCTTAGAATGATCAGTTCTCAAGATTTTGGTCTTAGGTCATGTAAAACAGGCTTAATTTCTTTAAATTATTTTTTTTATATTTTGGCTGCGACAAAATATAATATATATATATATATAAATATATATATATAAAATATAAAATATATCCCACATGCTCCCACAGAGCATGTGGGATCAGTTCTCCAACCAGGTTCCATCCACGTACCTGACAAAGTGTGGTGTCTTAACCACTGGGCTGCCAGGAAAGTCCCTTAAAATTTCTTGACCCTAAAACCTTACTTATATATAAGGTTATATATATCTAATATAACTAATATAAGATATATAACAAGATATATCTTACATACCTAATATAAGGTTGGTTATATCTAATGATAGTTAACCATACTAGCAATTAAAACTGAAAAGAATATATAGATAAAAATTTTTAACTTTTAATAAGCTTTATATTAAAATGTTATATATATTAATATAATTGAATACACGCATTAAATGGTAACAAAAATAACCCTTTTAGGTGAAAAGTAACTATATTTTCCAAAATAAAAAGCCAGAAGAGTGACACTTTTACATTTTTGCAAATTCCTTCACTGTATGACTTCACAGAACACAGCTAACTTCTCATACCTGCTTCTGCTTTCCATCTGCTGCACTGTGCTATTGTGGTTGAAGTATATAAAGAAAAGCTGATCTCACAAAGATATGCAAGTAGAAAGGAGATAATATTTCAACAGCCTTTTCAGGAAACTGTGGATATTACTCTTCAATACTATACCAAACCTTGGCAGTAGTATCTATTTTTTAAAGGTTAGCTACAATTTGGAAGCTGAAATCAGACCAACAAACTCTTTTGTACTGTTACATTAAAATTCAAATGGTCTGTCTTGCACTTTGAAGGAATCTTTTACCCAAGAAGGATTTTGTAACAACATGTGTTGATCATCTGGAAAATATTGGTTCAACTAGATAAATGCAGATCTTCCAAATGTTGACACCATTCATAACATCCAGAAAAAATGATGCTCTCAATATCACCACCAATCTCACCAGCAAAGTTTTTAAATAGCAGTAATCTGTCATGCTCATGGAGGTAGACACAAAGCTTTCCAAAATTCTGATTTCTATCTGAAAGCCTGAATTTTATCACCGGCAACAAACTCTACCCTGTCAGTTGTTTTCCTTGAAATAACAGGCTCATTTTGTTAATTTTCAAGAAATGTCTGCCAAATACCCAAGTACCAATAACTACAGCTTGTCATTCTTTCAAGTAAAAATGATGTTTCATGAAAAAACAAACAAGGGAAAAAAGAAAAAAAAACCAGCTACTTCAGCTCATAACTCAATCATATAAGCTTTTCCTTAGACCCGTCATATTTCAGAATGCAGCAGAAATACATTAAGGATACTTCCTATGTCTTCAGAATATTAGACAGATGTGTACTCAAGGGTTGAGATATAGAATTAAATAATTTTTACTGCTTTATCAAACACATTCATAAGTAAAACTTTTATTTTTTTTAACTCTGAGAAAAGAATACAGTGACTGGTAGCCTGGCCTGGTGCTGCTGTCCTGCTTTGTGCTAAAGGCCTTGGCAAATTTACCCATCTTTGCTTGTGCACTATCAGTGCAACATCAGTATGGCACAAAGGACAATAACCTTTTATTATATGAAACAGTTATGACCTCATACCTCCCCAGCCCTTTGAGAGGTCATAAGGGCCCTCAGTGGGCCATGGACACTACACTTTGAAAACTGCTGGTTTAGAACAGTGGTTCTCAACTGAGGCTTACTGTGCCACCGAAGTGATCATTTGGCAATGATTTCTGGTTGTTCCCTGATAGCCCAGTTGGTAAAGAAGTTGCCTGCAATGCAGGAGACCCCAGTTCAATTCCTGGGTTAGGAAGATCTGCCGGAGAAGGGATAGGCTACCCACTCCAGTATTCTTGGGCTTCCCTTGTGGATCAGCTGGTAAAGAATCCGCTTGAAATGAGGGAGACCTGGGTTTGATTCCTGGGTTGGGAAGATCCCCTGGAGAAGGGAAAGGCTACCCACTCCAGTATTCTAGCCTGGAGAACTGCATGGACTGTATAGTCCATAGGGTCACAGAGAGTCGGACATGACTGAGTGACTTTCACTTTTGGTTGTCATGACTGCACAAGAAGGGGATGGTATGCTTCCAACAGAGGTCAGAGATGCTGCTAAACATCCTACAGTGCATAGGACAGGCCCCCACAACAAAGAATTACCTGACCCAAAATGTTCATCGTGTTGAGGATAAGAAACCTTGGTTTAGAATAAACAAAAATGTAAAATAAAAGTATTTCAAAACCCAGTACCCAAATTCTGTAAAGCAATTACCCTTCGATTAAAAAATCAATTTAAAAAACCATTACACAGTATATAAAATCACTACTTACTAGCACTCTGGTACTTCTTCCCAGTGCTTTCTTTAGGATAGGTTCTTTTACATTTTATTATCTTATATATAAAATGCTCTAAGATAAAATTTCCAAGTGATATTATGTTCTAGGTATTTCTCCAAATTATTTCATATTCTTTAAAGCATTTAAAAAACAGCTGTGCAAGTTCTAATAAGTGGTTACATCAAAATTCACTTAGCCATTCTATTTTTCAGTTCTTGGGCTGTTTTAAGTTTTCTGCCAATATAAATATTATGAAGAATATCTTGGTGCATAAGACTTTCTCCATACATCAATTGTTTCCTTATGACTGATTCCTACAGTGGATTAACTGAATGAAATTTAGTATGTGAACCTTATTTTAAGGCCTTATACACATAATGCCCCAAAGATGTATAACAATTGATATCACTGTCAGCAATGTGTTAAGGTTGACAGTTTCAGTCATGGATATGATCATTTCTATTAATAAAAGTCATTCTCATTTCCCCTTCTTACCATGGGTGACTTCATCCATGTCTGGACTAGTGACAGAATCTTTACCCCCAAAATCAGAGCTGCACTCAGATCTCAGATCTTCAATCTTGTTGGGAATATCCTCAGAGGTTGCACTTATGCCTTCAGAAAAAAAAATATATATATGGCAAAAAAATAAACAGCAAGAACAACAAAATAACCACACAAAAAGTATATGAAGTTTGGAGAAATGTATACAGTCTCACATTTTTTGTGTCCCAGTTCTTTACAAGGGAGCTGTTTGGTATTATATCCTTTCTTATACTATTGCTTAAATATATTTACCTTGATTTGTACAACATAATCAGAATTACCACACAACAGCTAAATACAGTAGCAGAGGCTATCAAGAACAGATAGTTATAGAGGGAACACACACAGACCGTCTATCAACTACTCTGACAGGCTCTATAAAGGCACATATTAACTTCTCATAGATGTCAGGTCCCGTAGAAGTAACTGTTTCCCACTTACTCAGGTCTTAGACAAAATATATATCTTTGCTATTGACTTTATAGAGGGGGACATGGGAACACATCTTCAACTCCTTATTCCTTAAAACAAGACAGACATACCCGACACAACACTGAGGCCTGGAGTGCTGGGGCGGGAACTGACCTCCCTGACATCCGTATCATCAGACGTGCTACCCAGTCCAGAGCAGCTCTCCAGTTCCTGCAGTCGCTCTTCCTGCTTTAGATCTGGGGCCTCTGAGCAGAAGAAGTGAGGTACCACGTTACTGATTTTGCTAGCACATCACAGTTTCAGCTTTTGTGACCCAGATGAAGAAAGCTACTGGGGCATGAATGGACTCAGTGCAAACAGACTTCCAAGTCTGGACCAGTTAGCAAAGCCAGTTAGATCAAATGTTAAAAGTCAAGGTTGTGGTTTTTATCCCAATACAGGCCAGTTCACTATGCACAGATGAAAACTCTGCTTCCAGATCACTAATCTCAGAGTATTCTTTCTTCTGGTTAAAAGTAAACTAAACAAAAGGACATAGGCGAGCTTGTCATTAAATCAACCACTTTCTAAAAAATAACTCCTAGGGATGCTCGGCAGTGAGCTAATCCTACTGTCTCCTAATGGACAGGTTAGCATGTCTGAATGTGGTATAAGGTTAAAAAACACATACCAAAATCACTTCATATTTTTGAGCCAAGCAAATGAAACAGAATGTAATTCAGATACACAGTTGCTTATATTTGCATCCTGGTAGTTGATATTTAGTTGAAGACAAGGATTTAAATTCATAAGCAGAAAAAAAGCAGACATGCAATATGTAAGAGAAAGTACAAAATACACCTGGCAGGCTACAGTCCACAGGGCCGCAACAGTCGGACGTGACTGAGCAACTAAACCACCACCACATTTATAACCCTGCACAAAATAATTCTTGGGATTCCAGAGTCTCAATTTCAATGCATTTCAAAACTACATGTGGTATCTTTGGGTTAAATTCTCCAAATCTAAACATGCTTATTACCAGGTATCCAACCACTCAAGGTTCAAACTGTGCTGCTATTCTTCTCTTGCAATAAGTTAGTGGGAGACATTGAACTCAATGTCCCACATAGAATCCTGATAAGTTACTAACAATTGCTTTCAAGATAACTGAACCGAGTCAGAAAGCACCTGCTATCTTAGCCTCTGCCATCCAACGCTACATTTTTTCTTGATGGACAGAAAACATCCTAAACTAATTTTCCATTTGCAGTTCTGAGCAAAGTTATTGCCTCATACTTGTCAAACGCATATCTGACAAAAGGTATACTTAATAAATAAATTAGGATGCCTTACATTTAAAACTTCTGTGCAAATAAAAAAGCCAACAATGACAGCATACTAACCTGAGTCACTTGGCAATACCTCTACACTCCAAGCTTCGCTTGTTGTCTCTGATATGGTAGAACCAGTGCAGGCGTCAAGAAGCACTGACCCTGAGCCGGGCAGGCACAGCAAACTGCCTAACATGTTCTCTGCTGCTGCACCTGTACAACCAACGGGGAGCAAAGCGTTAATAGAGCTCCTCAGGGAAAGCGCAGTGATAATGGGAAAAGGGCAAACACAAAGCTCACAAAATGTCTCTACTCACAAGAAAAAAGCCAAGGTAAGAGTGATTTCAATCAATGAAACCACTAAAGACACAAATGTCCCACTTGGGTCACAATAACACAAGTTTCTTTTCATCTGTTTCCTACTGTTCACCTTGGTCTCCATTGAGAAAACACAGCTCATTAGGTCAAGTCATTTCAACTAGCTTTCACTCTTGTTTTTCAGCAAATTTTGTGTGTCCTCAGCACCTCTCTAACAATTACAGTCCTTCGGGGATTAGAAACACGCAGAGACACTTAACCACAGAAAGTTATACTGGCCAAATGCTTTTTTCTGGCACATGAGCCACATATTCAGAGAAATAAAGTATATTTGCAGGGAAATACACATCTCCTTTGTAGCATTCATTCAACTGCAAATATAGCTTATTGCCCAAATACAGCTCACCTACAGGAAAAATATCACTTTGACATATGGAACAAAATAATGCAAAACCAACTGAGAAATCTATTTATACTTCTTAAAAATACAAACAGAAAGGTTAAACATTATTGTACACCTGTGTTAAAAATAGTCAGGTTTGGAACGCTCCACTACTTCTGATTAAACCTAATAAAACTCTATTTCAGGAGATGAAGAACTTTTGGAAAAAGGTCACTGGCAAAAGTTACCTTTTAAAGATACTTCACAGTTACCAAGGGGAAAAGATGGGGGCTGGGGGTGGATAGATCAAGAGTCTGAGGTTGGCATACGCACACTTCCATATATGGAATATATGGTCATTAGGGACCTAGCGTACAGCACAGGGAACTATGCTCAATGTTCTGTAATAATCTACATGGGAAAAGAATCTAGAAAAGAGTAGATATATGTGTATGTGTAACTGAATCACAACTAACACAACACTGTAAATCAACTATACCCTGATACAAAATTTAAAAATTTTTAAATAAAAGAAAGATATGTCATGAAATAATTACAAGTAAAATAATGTCTGGAACATGCCTAAACATAATCACATAATCAGGAGAGGGGATGAAAAGGTGGGAGAAGAGATGAAACAAAACTGGCCAGGTGTGTATGTGTAATTGTTGCATCTGGGTGATGGGTAATGGTGCTCAGTATACTGTTCTCGCCTGTATTTGTTTGAAATGGTCCATGATTTAAAAAGAAAATAAAAATAAAAATTTAAAAAATTAAAAAAAAAAGAAAATAAAGATGGTGATTACAAGACTGTGTGACAATTTCAGAAGGGACAGAACACTATCCTTAAAAGGGTAACTTTAACATATGGAAACTGTATCTTGATAAACTTGATACTAGAAAAACAGAAAAAGAGAAAACTGTTCCTTGCTTTAAGCTGAATTAAACCTTCCAGAAGCAAATTCAGGTTTTAGAGAATCTCAATATCATATTACTCTGAAAGGCTTTATGGCTATAACCTGTAAGAATTTTCATTTTAAGGCAAAATGTTTAGTTTCAAAATAAGAATATGCTAATATGCTAATAACAAATATGTTAATCATAGGCTCTGCAAACAAGAATTGACAAAGAGATAATTCAAAAGATTGGTTCTTCTTTTTTGTATGGGGAGGAACCCTTAAATGCAGAACAGAGAAAATACTACCTATTTTCAATAAAGAGAAAAAAAGAATACACAAATACCTTGTCATATACAATTATCTCAGTTTCCCAGTTACTGTTAACATACACACCATGTTTGTTAGAGCACACAAGCTCCCTCCCATGAAGGGTGGGTGGATACGAATAACTGAACAGCAATCTTCCAGAGACATTCAGTAGCAGTTACCTGCTATTTCTTGCAAGCGATCTTCATCAATGTTAGGGTCAAAATCACTCCCCAATACATCTGTACTCCACGTCTCACTCACTGTTTCTGATATATCCCTGTCATCCGTGAGTCCCATCATGTCACGGATTTCAAACTTCCGGAGCTTATCATCGAGATTATCCTGCGTAGTAGCTAGCAAAAGCAAAATTAAGCACTTTAAAAATCATAGCATGGAAATGGTAGAGCCCCCATTAAATACATTTGAGCAGGGTACTTCATAACATTATAAAACAACCTATTAATAGCTGGAAGGGACCTATTCTTCTCAGTGGAGGAAGCACCCCAGAATTCCTGATACAGGGTGACTTGCTATAGCTCCCCTACAACATTTTCTCTTGCAGATCAACTCTACTTACTAACTCTATTAGATCCTGGAAGCATTTACTGAGCATCTAATACATACAAGGCTCTATGCTGGAGACTGAGGGAAGGCACCAACATGATGAAAGGCCTGTCCCTGTGTTCAGAGGTTCTACAGTCTGGTGGAGAGATGCGAGCTCTAACACAAGGTAGGGTGACATCCAGCTATAACTAAGCTTCGAAGAAGGAGCAATCAGAGCCCAGAGAAGCAATAAATTTCCATTGGGTGGATGAGGGTTGAGGTCACAGCACAAGAAAGTTCTCTCTAGTCAGAACAGAAGTCTCTTCCACCTCGTGGATGGTGGGGGTGGTTTTTTTAGGGGGGGGGGCTATGTCATTTAATTCACTCAGTTTGCAGCATCTCACTTAATCAACCAGGGGCTGAAACTGAGCAAGTGCAGTTAAAGCACAGAATCCTAACCACTAGGTCACCGAGGAATTCCCCGAGTAGGCCATGTTGAGTGAACTCAGTTCTGTCTTCTGGAATGACACCAAAGTATAATCCTTTCCCCTCAGGACAGTCTTTAAAATATTCACCAATAACTAGCTTGTCCTCTCCAATTTTTCTCTTTTCAAGGCCAGCATTTCTCCATTTCTTTGACAGGGTTTCACAAAAAGAATGAATCAACACAGAAGCCTTTCCTCCTCCTCCAAGTACTAAAGTGCTATCTAGCCTTCAAAGCAAAGGACAAAGTCAATGCCACCTTCTCCACTGAATTCCCTAATAACTACAGGGGAGCTTACTCGCCTAAAAACAAGTACATACGAAAAAACTTACTTTTGCAATCCCTCAGATTCACTCATAATGTATGGTATATGTGGTTTCCTATATGCCTGTTTGTGGCTATCTGACAAAGCCGGTTTTCTCTCAGTTTTGGAACATATTGTGTAACTTTGATGTAGAGATGACAAAGACTCTTTCTTTGAGGAAACTTCAGTCAGGCCCCTCTGAACCCTCTTCTGCCTCAGGCTTCAACTTTGCCCCACACACACACACACCCACCCACACACACACACACACACACACACACCCCCACCCACACACACACACCCACCCACACACACACCCCCACCCACACACACACCCCCACCCACCCACCCACACACACACACACACCCCCACCCACACACACACACCCACCCACACACCCACCCACACACCCACACACACACACACACCCGCCCCCCCCCCACACACACACAATCATAGCATGGCTACCATTTTTAAAATCAACTTTAAAGAACTTTGTGTCTTTAAACTCCAAGGTATACATTTGAACACTAACACTCAGCGCACAGTACCAAAACACGGAATTATTCCTTCATGGATGTACTCCCTCCCTCTCTGAACCAAGCTCAACATGTGTGCTCCCCCTTCTGGTCAGTTAACCGGGGCAGCTGATGTTATCAACCGTCTCCCTGTCCTCTACAGTGTGACACTGTTCAAGAATTGGGATATATGCCCCTTCTTAGAATTTGGACCAGCCTGGTAACTTGCTTTGTCCGCAAGGATAAAGAGGAAGTGTGCCAGTTGTGAGGTTAGGCCTCAAGAGATCTTACAAACATCGGCTCTCTCTCATCCTTGCTTCTGCCCTGAGGACAAGCTGAAACCAGCTTTTTAGGGGAGGAGGAACCACATGGAACAAAGCAAAGGTCATCCTAGACTAGCCAGCTCCCCACTGACCAACAGATGTCCAGCTAAAATTAGCAGAGCTCCCTACTTGACTACTGGTGATCCAAGATGTATGAGGGCCCAGATTCTATCCCTGGTCAAGGAACTGCATCCCACAAGCTGTAACTAAGAGTTCACAAGCTACAACTAAGGGTCCTTCGTGCCGCCACCAAGACCTGGCACAGCCAAATAAATAAATATTTTTAAAAAGAATACCAGAATCCCCTAAAAGGTTTGTTAAAGAAGTGATATTCTTTCAACTTCCATCTTAAGCGAATATTATTTTAGGTTTCTGCTTTTTGCAGAAAATTTAATCCTAAATAACATAGTGACTCAATGTATGACAAAAACCACTACAATATTGTAAATTAGCCTCCAATTAATAAAAATAAATGAAAAAAAAAGTAATTCAAGCCCTTTCAAAAAAAAAAAAATAGTGACAAACTGATTGAGTAAAACTCAGCCTTACTTTTATTCAACCAACCTGACTGGAAACCCTCTTTTCTTTTCTAAAAAGAGATTAAACCAGGATCTCTAGAAATGACACGTGGGAAATGCCTTTTTTTTTTTCTTTTTTCCTAACTCCCCAGGTGATTTTTACACCCACCTAAGTCATTGCCTTAAATCCAGCTGAAGGCAATAAACATTCCCATAAAATCCACCATTTCTTAAATGAAAAAAATCCAAAGAACTTTTTCTAAAAGGACAACAGGGATCCACCTGCTTTTCGTCCTAGCTTCACGTCGTCACCCTACTTGACAGCTCCCGAGGAAGTACTATGATTCCCAGCTCCTTGACTTGCTTATACTATTAAAATTACTTGACCTAGAGCATCTCTAGTTTCAGCCAGTGCCAATGCCAGCCAGGCTTTAAGGCTACTATTTTCTCCCTATAAGCTTTTCCCTACACTTTGAACCACATGTATTTCTTACCCAGAACTGCCAATGCACTTTTATGATAATTTTAATCATTTGTGTGCCATTTTCACCCTATTCTAAGTTCCTTGAGCCCTCAGAATTTATCTTAGTACCCCTTAAAATTGTAATACTACAGAATTGAAATACCAAATATTATACAATTCAAGCAATTCATCTTAATTCTTCTGTGTAATTTAAGCCTAAAATAATCCACTTAGCAACTAAACATTTTTTTTTTTTTTTGGCTTCGCCTTGCAGCTTACAGGATCTGAGTTTCCTGACCAGGGACTGAAGCAGGCCATGACATTGAAAGTGCCAAGTCCTAACCGCTGAGCTGCTAGGGAATTCCAAACTAAACACATCTTTAAGAACTGTAGGAACTATGAATAAATGTCAGTTTAATGGCCAGTATGTAATCAACTGGACACAGCCCACTCACAGGGAAACAATGCTCATTCGTGACCAGGTAAATTCTTTGCTGCTGAGCAACTGAAGTCGACCTCACTTTACCTTGCTCATGCTCTAACAGCTGCAGAGCCTCAACTCCATTGCTCCCAGAAGGTCCTGCTCCAAGCTCTGACACAGACTCCCCCTCCAGGTCCAGTGAGGACACCGAATTAGAACGATTTGAAGGACCTAGAGAGACGTTTATACTGTGAGTGAAGTTTACAAGACAGTCATGAGCCACCATGTAATGTTTCATGCCTTGATAAGAGAATAAAAGACTGATTAAAGTGCTTTTTAATGCTGTTACACTGTAAAAATAAACACATCCTTTAGCCAGAAATGCTTTTAGAAATTTATCCAAGGAACTAATCAAAACTCCATCTAAGGTTGCTTGTTGCAAGACTTCTTATAATGTCTAAAAAGTGGAAACAATCTACTTGTGTAATCATAGAAGAAAGTTTAAATATATTATGAGAAATGCCCATTTGAAGTTAAAGAAAGCAGCCATTAAAAACCATGTTATTTAAGAATGCTCAACTACAAAGGGAAATGTTACTGTTACATGGTTAAACCAAAAAAGTTGCAAAACAGCATAAGCCCAATTTTGCTATAAATAAACCAAAATGTTTACTGTTATTAATAGAATGGTAAGGTCACAGATGGTTCAATTTTTTCCCTTCATTTTCTAGAATGAATGTACATTACTTACATTTTTAAAAGTGGGGGGGGAAGGAAAAGTTATTACTGTTTGTGTTTATCCTAAAATGTTAATCAGAGGGGAGGAGCCAAGATGGCAGAGGAATAGGACAGGGAGACCACTTTCTCCCCTACAAATTCATTGAAAGAACAATTCAACGCAGAGCAAACTTCACAAAACAACTTCTGATCGCTAGCTGAGGACATAAGGCGCCCAGAAAAGCAGCCCATTGTCTTCAAAAGGAGGTAGGACAAAATATAAAAGATAAAAAGAGAGACAAAACAGCTAGGGACGGAGACCCGTCCCGGAAGGGAGTCTTAATAGAGGAAGTTTCCAAACACCAGGAAACCCTCGTACTGGCGAGTCTGGGGGAAGTTTTCGAATCTCAGAGGGCAACCTAACTGGGAGGAAAAATAAATAAAACCCACAGATTACGTGCCTAAAAGCAACTCCCAGCAGAAAAGTACCCCAGACGCCCGCATCCGCCACCAGCAAGTGGGGGTGTAACAGAGAGGAGCGGGCGGCATTGCTGAGGGTAAGGACCGGGCCTGAGTGACCAGAGGGCAATCGGAGGGAGCTTTTGTGAGAAACCAACTTAAAACTGTGGGACAGCAAAAGAGAGAGAGAAAATTAACCGGCTTGAGCACACTGCCGGCCGTTCACAGAACAAAGGGTCTGAGCAAGTACAGAGGAGCTAGCGGCTGCGGACTGACCCAGCCCCGCGGGAGGCAGCGGGGAGGGGAAAGGGGCAAACTCGGCCCCAAAGACAGCATCCCCTACCACACTGCAAACAGGCCTCCAGTTTCTATCCAAAGACTTCCTGAGATTCTGGATGGTCGACATCCGGCGGGAGGGTCGCAGCTAAACACAGGGCACACACACCCAACCAGAGCGGGCGGAAACTGAGGCTGGGGCCACAGAGGGGAGAAGGCACACCGCACCCAGGGAGAGTGCGCCCATCAAGCTCCTGGCTGCCTGAGCTGCTCGGCCAGGGAAGGCACAAAACGCAGACGCAACCGAGTCCGCGCTTTTGTGGAGTACCCGAAAACTGGAACCGCACGCAACGCAGGGCGTGCTCCATATAGAGCAGCCGGGAGCCTGAGCAGCGCCCCTCCCTCCCCGCAGCGCGAGGGAACTAGCGAACCTGAACAAGAGACCACCACCACCCCCCCCACCCAAATCAGGGCGGAAATTAGACACTGAAGAGACCGGCAAACAGAAGCCAAATAAACAAAGGGAACCATTCAAGAAGGGACTGGTGCAACAGATTAAAATCCCTGTAGATAACACCGACTACACCGGAAGGGGTCTACAGATATCGAGAAGTGTAAGCTGGAACGAGGAGCTATCTGAAACTGAAGTGAACCCACACTGACCTCAACAGCTCCAGAGAAATTCCTAGATATATTTTTACCTTTTTTTTTCTCTTTTATTTTCTTTTAAAATTCCCTATTACTCCCCCATTACTCCTTAACTTTTATTTTCATATATTTTTACGATTTTTTTTAATTAGGAAAATTTTTTTTTCTTTTTCTCTTATTTTCTTTTAAAGTCCTCTATTACTCCTCTACTACTCCTTAATTTTCATTTTCATTTCACTATAACCTTGCAAAAAAAAAAAAAAGCCCTATTTTTAAACCAAACTTCATATATATTTCTAAATTTTTTTTTGTTTTTAATATTGTATTTTTAAGAGTCTAACCTCTACTCTAGATTTTTAATCTTTGTTTTTCAATATTTGATATCAATTTTGGACATTTAAGAATCCAATGCTCAGTGCCCATTTTTACTCAGGAGTGTGTTGATTACTCTCTCCCACTTTTGACTCTCCATTTTCTCCATCAGATCACCTCTATTTCCTCCCTCCCCCTTCTCTTCCCAATCAAACTCTGTGAATCTCTGTGGGTGTCTGGGCTACGGAGAACACTCTGGGAACAGACACCTGCGTAGATCTGTCTCTCTCCTCTTGAGTCCCCCTTTTCTCCTCCTACTCATCTCTATCTCCCTCCTCCCTCTCCTCTTCTTCATGTAGCTCTGTGAACCTCTCTGGGTGTCCCTCACGGTGGAGAATCTTTTCACCATTAACCTAGAAGTTTTATTATCAGTGCTGTATAGTTAGAGAAGTCTTGATACTACTGGAAAAATAAAACTGAAATCCAGAGGCAGGAGACTTAAGCCCAAAACCTGAGAATACCAGAAAACTCCTGACTACACAGAACATTAAGTAATAAGAGACCATCCAAAAGCCTCCATACCTACACTGAAACCAACCACCACCCAAGAGCCAGTAAGTTTCAGAGCAAGACATACCACGCAAATTATCCAGCAACATAGGAACATAGCCCTGAGCGTCAACTTACAGGCTGCCCAAAGTCACACCTAACACATAGACCCATCTCAAAACTCATTACTGGACACCCCATTGCACTCCAGAGAGAAGAAAGCCAGTTCCACACACCAGAACACCGACGCAAGCTTCCCTAACCAGGAAACCTTGACAAGCCAATCGTCCAACCCCACCCACTGGGTGAAGCCTCCACAATAAAACGGAACCACAGACCTCCAGAATACAGAAAGCCCACTCCAGACACAGCAATCTAAACAAGATGAAAAGGCAGAGAAATACCCAACAGTAAAGGAACATGAAAAATGCCCACCAAGTCAAACAAAAGAGGAAGAGATAGGGAATCTACCTGAAAAAGAATTTAGAATAATGATAATAAAAATGATCCAAAATCTTGAAAACAAAATGGAGTTACAGATAAATAGCCTGGAGACAAAGATTGAGAAGATGAAAGAAATGTTTAATAAAGACCTAGAAGAAACAGTCAATTGAATAATGCAATAAATGAGATCAAAAACACTCTGGAGGGAACCAAGAGTAGAGTAACAGAGACAGAAGATAGGATAAGTGAGGTAGAAGATAAAATGGTGGAAATAAATGAAGCAGAGAGGAAAAAAGAAAAAAGAATCAAAAGAAATGAGGACAACCTCAGGGACCTCTGGGACAATGTGAAACGCCCCAACATTCGAATCATAGGAGTCCCAGAAGAAGAAGACAAAAAGAAAGGCCATGAGAAGTTACTCGAGGAGATAATAGCTGAAAACTTCCCTAAAATGGGGAAGGAAATAGCCACCCAAGTCCAAGAAACCCAGAGAGTCCCAAACAGGATAAACCCAAGGCGAAACACCCCAAGACACATATTAATCAAATTAACAAAGATCAAACACAAAGAACAAATATTAAAAGCAGCAAGGGAGAAACAACAAATAACACACAAAGGGATTCCCATAAGGATAACAGCTGATCTATCAATAGAAACCCTCCAGGCCAGAGGGAATGGCAGGACATACTTAAAGTAATGAAAGAGAATAACCTACAACCTAGATTACTCTACCCAGCAAGGATCTCATTCAGATATAAAGGAGAATTCAAAAGCTTTACAGACAAGCAAAAGCTGAGAGAATTCAGCACCACCAAACAAGCTCTTCAACAAATGCTAAAGGATCTTCTCTAGACAGGAAACACAGAAAGGTTGTATAAACATGAACCCAAAACAACAAAGTAAATGGCAATGGGACCATACCTATCAATAATTACCTTAAATGTAAATGGGTTGAATGCCCCAACCAAAAGACAAAGACTGGCGGAATGGATACAAAAACAAGACCCCTATATATGCTGTCTACAAGAGACCCATGTCAAAACAAGAGACACATACAGACTAAAAGTGAAGGGCTGGAAAAAAAATATTTCACACAAACGGAGAACAAAAGAAAGCAAGAGTCGCAATACTCAGATAAAATTTTCACAAATAAAGGCTGTGAAAAGAGACAAAGAAGGACACTACATAATGATCAAAGGATCAATCCAAGAAGAAGATATAACAATTATAAATATATATGCACCCAACATAGGAGCACCGCAATATGTAAGGCAAACGCTAACGAGTACGAAAGAGGAAATTAATAGTAACACAATAACAATGGGAGACTTTAATACCCCACTCACAACTATGGATAGATCAGCTAAACAGAAAATTAACAAGGAAACACAAACTTTAAATGACACAATGGAGCAGCTAGACCTAATGGATATCTATAGGACATTTCACCCCAAAACAATCTACTTCACCTTTTTCTCAAGTGCACACGGAACCTTCTCCAGAATAGATCACATCCTGGGCCATATAATCTAGTCTTGGTAAATTAAAAAAAATTGAAATAATTCCAGTCATCTTTTCTGACCACAGTGCAGTAAGATTAGATCTCAGTTACAGGAAAAAAATTGTTAAAAATTCAAACATATGGAGGCTAAACAACACGCTTCTGAATAACCAACAAATCATAGAAGAAATCAAAAAAGAAATCAAAATATGCATAGAAATGAATGAAAATGAAAACACAAAAACCCAAAACCTATGGGACACTGTAAAAGCAGTGCTAAGGGGAAGGTTCATAGCATTATAGGCCTACCTCAAGAAACAAGAAAAAAGTCAAATAAATAACCTAACTCTACACCTAAAGCAACTAGAGAAGGAAGAAATGAAGAACCCCAGGGTTAGTAGAAGGAAAGAAATCTCAAAAATTAGGGCAGAAATAAATGCAAAAGAAACTAAAGAGACCATAGCAAAAATCAACAAAGCTGAAAGCTGGTTTTTTGAAAAAATAAACAAAATTGACAAACCATTAGCAAGACTCATTAAGAAACAAAGGGAGAAGAACCAAATTAACAAAATTAGAAAGGAAAATGGAGAGATCACAACAGACAACACTGAAATACAAAGGATCATAAGAGACTGCTACCAGCAGCTCTATGCCAATAAAATGGACAACTTGAAAGAAAATGGACAAATTCTTAAAAAAGTATAACTTTCCAAAACTGAACCAGGAAGAAATAGAAGATCTTAACAGACCCATCACAAGCAAGGAAATCGAAACTATAACCAGAAATCTTCCAGCAAACAAAAGCCCAGGACCAGATGGCTTCACAGCTGAATTCTACCAAAAATTTAGAGAAGAGCTAACACCTATCTTACTCAAACTCTTCCAGAAAATTGCAGAAGAAGGTAAACTTCCAAACTCATTCTATGAGGCCACCATCACCCTAATTCCAAAACCAGACAAAGATGCCACAAAAAAAGAAAACTACAGGCCAATATCACTGATGAACATAGATGCAAAAATCCTTAACAAAATTCTAGCAAACAGAATCCAACAACATATTAAAAAGATCATACACCATGACCAAGTGGGCTTTATCCCAGGAATGCAAGGATTCTTTAATATCTGCAAATCAATCAATGTAATACACTACATTAACAAATTGAAAGATAAAAACCATATGATTATCTCAATAGGCACAGAGAAAGCCTTTGACAAAATTCAACACCCATTTATTAAAACTCTCCAGAAAGCAGGAATAGAAGGAACATACCTCCACATAATAAAAGCTATATATGACAAACCCACAGCAAGCATTACCCTCAATGGTGAAAAATTGAAAGCATTTCCCCTAAAATCAGGAACAAGACAAGGGTGCCCACTCTCACCACTACTATTCAACATAGTTTTGGAAGCGTTGGCCACAGCAATCAGAGCAGAAAAAGAAGTAAAAGGAATCCAGATAGGAAAAGAAGAGTGAAACTCTTGCTGTTTGCAGATGATATGATCCTCTACATAGAAAACCCTAAAGACTGTACCAGAAAATTACTAGAGCTAATCAACGAATATAGTAAAGTTGCAGGATATAAAATTAACACACAGAAATCCCTTGCATTCCTATACACTAACAATGAGAAAACAGAAAGAGAAATTAAGGAAACAATACCATTCACCATTGCAACAAAAAGAATAAAATACTTAGGAGTATATCTACCTAAAGAAACAAAAGACCTATACATAGAAAACTATAAAACACTGATGAAAGAAATCAAAGAGGACACAAACAGATGGAGAAACATACCGTGTTCATGGATTGGAAGAATCAATATTGTCAAAATGGCTATTCTACCCAAAGCAATCTATAGATTCAATGCAATCCCTATTAAGCTACCAACGGTATTTTTCACAGAACTAGAATAAATAATTTCTCAATTTGTATGGAAATACAAAAAACCTCGAATAGCCAAAGTAATCTTGAGAAAGAAGAATGGAACTGGAGGAATCAACCTGCCTGACTTCAGACTATACTACAAAGCCACAGTCATCAAGACAGTATGGTACTGGCACAAAGACAGAAATATAGATCAATGGAACAGAATAGAAAGCCCAGAGATAAATCCACGAACCTATGGACACCTTATCTTCGACAAAGGAGGCAAGGATATACAATGGAAAAAAGACAACCTCTTTAACAAGTGGTGCTGGGAAAACTGGTCAACCACTTGTAAAAGAATGAAACCAGAACACTTTCTAACACCATACACAAAAATAAACTCGAAATGGATTAAAGATCTAAATGTAAGACCAGAAACTATAAAACTCCTAGAGGAGAACATAGGCAAAACACTCTCCGACATAAATCACAGCAGGATCCTCTATGACCCACATCCCAGAATATTGGAAACAAAAGCAAAAATAAGCAAATGGGACCTAATGAAACTTAAAAGCTTTTGCACAACAAAGGAAACTATAAGCAAGGTGAAAAGACAGCCCTCAGATTGGGAGAAAATAATAGCAAACGAAGCAACAGACAAAGGATTAATCTCAAAAATATACAAGCAACTCCTGCAGCTCAACTCCACAAAAATAAATGACCCAATCAAAAAATGGGCCAAAGAACTAAACAGACATTTCTCCAAAGAAGACATACAGATGGCTAACAAACACATGAAAAGATGCTCAACATCACTCATTATCAGAGAAATGCAAATCAAAACCACAATGAGGTACCATTACACGCCAGTCAGGATGGCTGCCATCCAAAAGTCTACAAGCAATAAATGCTGGAGAGGGTGTGGAGAAAAGGGAACCCTCTTACACTGTTGGTGGGAATGCAAACTAGTACAGCCGCTATGGAGAACAGTGTGGAGATTTCTTAAAAAGCTGGAAATAGAACTGCCATATGACCCAGCAATCCCACTTCTGGGCATACACACTGAGGAAACCAGATCTGAAAGAGACACGTGCACCCCAATGGTCATCACAGCACTGTTTATAATAGCCAGGACATGGAAGCAACCTAGATGCCCATCAGCAGACAAATGGATGAGGAAGCTGTGGTACATATACACCATGGAATATTACTCAGCCATTAAAAAGAATTCATTTGAATCAGTTCTAATGAGATGGATGAAACTGGAGCCCATTATACAGAGTGAAGTAAGCCAGAAAGATAAAGAACATGATAATGATAACCCTATATGCAAAACAGAAAAAGAGACACAGATGTACAGAACAGACTTTTGGACTCTGTGGGAGAAGGCGAGGGTGGGATGTTTCGAGAGAACAGCATCGAAACATGTACATTATCTATGGTGAAACACATCACCAGCCCAGGTTGGATGCATGAGACAAGTGCTCAGGCATGGTGCACTGGGAAGACCCAGAGGGATTGGGTAGAGAGGGAGGTGGGAGGGGGGATCGGGATAGGGAATACATGTAAATCCAAGGCTGATTCATGTCAATGTATGACAAAACCCACTATAATACTATAAAGTAATTAGCCTCCAACTAATAAAAATAAATGAAAAAAATAATAATAATAAAATAAAATGTTAATCAACTTGAAACTTTCCATTAATTAAGCTTATCCTTGCACATGGAGTGACATAGTCTCATTTTACAATCTTACCTTTTTATTTCCTTTTTAATTCCTATCCTATTTCCATTGTATCTTTCCACTTCATTAAAAGGTTAAAGGCATACACAATGTCCTAAAATATCATGAGTCCATTTTTTCCATTTAGACATGCATTAATCCCTCTAAAGGAGCTCTATAAGCATTGGTATATTTTAATACTAGTGAAATAAAACTCAGTATTATTCAAGTCTCAATAAAGACGTATATCTTCTCTACTTTATATGACCAAAGGTCTCTTGCCATCTTAATTTTATTCAGAGAAATAATCTTTATAGCCAACTGTTCAAGATCATTAGAGGAAAACTTCATTACTCTCCTCGGTGAGAGGCACAGATGGCATAATTATAATTTATAAGGCTCCTTTAAAGAACACAAAACAAAATATTACTTGAATCACACAACTCCTTGAATGAAGTAACCCTTCACCTTCAGATATTCCTTCCAGATTATCACTGCACAGGGAGAAGCGCAAGGTTTTATCAGGTTTACCGTGGAGTTTGTTTTCATCAACAGGGACGTCTCCTTGTCCTCCATCCGAAAGCTGCATGTTGAGGACCTGAAAAATAAAATGCCATTAGTTTATCACAACGGAAAGACTGCTGATAAGAAAAACAAACCACGGCAAATGCATATTTAATTTCTTCTTAACATTAAATGATCATTTTTAAACTAAAAACCCATTTACAGGGTCTAAGTGCCCCTGGGATGAAAGTACATCAATGAGGACTGAATCTATGCCTTTCCATGACCCTACTGGTGTCAACGACTGAACAGGCAATCAGATGTCAATAGCAGTTCAGGACTGCAGGAATCCAAGGCTTCAGAGCCAGTGGTCTGTCCCTGATGGTTAGAGGTTAAGACTCCCAGCTTCCATCGCAGCAGGAATGGGTTCAATCTCAGGTTGGAGAACCAAAATCCCTCATGATACACAGCATAGCCAAAAAAAAAAAATCTAAATTTCTTAAGGTTAATAGCTATAAGTGTATGTAGCAATACAATCATACCTCATTTTCTGACATCATCCCTGGAGTAAGCTGGGGACCTGTTCCTAAGGAAATGACCAACACCTCTTCTGGCTGCACCTCCTGGATGGTTTCTTGAGCTGATCCTTCATGGTCCATATGCAAGTCCATTAACACATTAGTGCGGCTTCTGCTCCGAGTTGCTAACAAAAGAATTTCAAGTATGATAATTTACAGAAAAAACAAAATGAAGAAAATGGCACATTAATACAAAAATATATTTTCTATTAATGTAGAACACTTGCGCATGCACAAAAAAAGACTGGTGAGAATGTGAATAAGAAAAAAAAATATATATATATATATATATCTTCCCAGGTATTCTTCTAGTGACTGACACAAACTCTCCTTCAAAACTGATCCACAGAAACAATGATCCATGTTCACCTGACAAGGGGTGACAAACAGATTATACCTGCAGAACAGCAAACATGCCTCAATCACTTTAAGACGTGGGGACGACAAGAAAAGCATTACTTTATTCTTTTATCTTTTCAAGATATCTTCAACTACTTCTACAACATAATGACTTAACTGCCACAGGTCTCCCATACTCATAACTACACTCACAAGCATTAGAAAACTTCATATGGAAATCCGATAGCCATATAGAGTTATACACGTTAATTAGGCAACTGTTAATAAAACAGAATCAAAACATTGTTTTTTCTGAACTGTATTAACCTCTTTTCAAAGATACAGAAGAGTTCTCTATGTTTGAATACACATTTCCTTTCTGCTTTATGGGAACAGTCTAAACTAATGAAGGATCTAATTATTTTGCAGTGCTTTTTCCCCTGTCTGTAAGTGTAATAGCTTTAGAAAGTATTCCATCCTATAGATCTTTTAAGAACTTTGGAAACTGAAAAATTTAGATAGTTTGTAACAATTTCTCTATGAGTTTCATTCCTTTGTGAAAAGTTTCAGTTTTCTTTCAGAGGCCACTACAATTCGATACAACCAGAATACTAAATAGATACTCTTTCTGTACAAAATAGTCAAAAACACACACAAAGCCAAAACACTCAATAATAACAAAAGCCTTTTACCTTCAGTTTGAGTGAAAGCTGACCTACTTGAAGACAGAAACATAAACAATCACTTGTACTTTCAAAAACTCAAAGTACACACCAACTTCCAAAAGTCTAAAACAGGTTTCACTCACACCTCTCTTCACTGATTCTGTCTTCTCTTGAATTGTAAGCTTAAATTCAGCTTTATGAACAACTACATGAATCTTACAGGATAAACTTTACAATTTGTAAAAATGCAAGGAATCAAAATTCATGTAGGAATTTACATAAAGCAAAAGCAACATGCACATGGAGCACAATTTCATAAACTATTTCTTAAATAAAAGTTACATAAGAAGAGGAACAGCCTATTACCCACCAAACGGGGTTACTAGAGTAATATGAGCAGAAAGACTGGTGGCTGAGGAATCCCAGGCAGTGATGGCTGCTAACTGTTGTCCTGGGTTGCGAAGGCATTAAACAGAAAGAAAATCAACCCTCTGAATAACGGACATAGCTCTTACAATAGGAAATAAGTTCAAAGACCAGGTCACACAACTGTACAAAATCACAACGGGCAAACATTTGAAGTTTACTTTCCATGATCCTTTTCCTTTTATATAATGACACTTTTGGATGACAAGAAATGAAAGAACTAACGCACACAAGTGAATCATGGAGGAAAAAAAAAATCTCTGGTTTGCCAAACATCATTTGTTTCTTCAAGCTAAAAAAAAAAAAAACAACGCAAATAGACTATAATCCTGAGTGTCAAGTTTTACTTTTTTCTTTCTCTAGCTCTGAAAATTGACATTTTGGGATGATGAAAGCCAAAGACTTGAAGATGATGATGCCACATTCCTACTGATGATACTGTGTGTATGCTCAGTCATGTCTGATTCTTTGGGACCCTGTGGACTGTAGCCCACCAAGCTTCTCTGTCTATGGAATTTTCCAGGCAAGGATACTGGAACTGGTTACCATTTCCTACTCCAGGGGATCTTCCTGACCTAGGGATCGAATCCATGTCTCCTGTGTCTCCTGCATTGCAGGTGGATTCTTTACCACTGAGCCATCTGGGAAGCCCAATTCTTAATAAACTTGACAAAATAAAATGAAAGTTTTGCCTTATTTCATAAAATAACAAAGATTTAAACTCAGTCATAAAAGATCAACTATTAATAATAATGAAAAACAGTAGCTATATATTTTCAATTTTACCAATAGAAAACTTCTAAAATAATATTATTTTATTATATAATTTAGAACTTTATGGAAAGAACAGGGCTACATAATTCAAATAATGACTACTTAGAGCAAATCACATTTTCAAAATTGTCCAAGACACTGAAATATAAGTAAGTGGCATGATTTCAATCAATTATGAAAAGTATGTCTAGATAAAGCTAAAGCCTACTGATGAACTTTAACTAATCTGGTGCAATATTTTTTTAATGTTAAAACCTGAATTACTCCCAGTAAAAATGAAGAGAAGAACTTCTCCAAATTATTGAAAACTGTACTCCCAATCACTAAGCAATAGCCTAGCCTAATAAAGAAACATTAAATTTAAAGGAGAGCCTCAATATGAGAAATTCTCTTTACCTATAGGCAATCGATTCTTTTTATTTGCTGGCGTGGTTGCTGGAGACAGCTGAGGAGTACTGTAGGGGGTCATTTCCAGACTGCTGCTTTTGCCTGGCTTCGCCTGGGGTAGATTTGCCAGTAAGTTGTCAAGAGCCATTCTATCTTCTCTCAGTTGATCTCCAGACATCACACTCTTCATAAAATTCACCTGGCAAAAGTAAAAAGGACATTAGCTTGTGAGATCAATTTTTTAAACAGTGTATATTTCTCACACAGTGTACTCTATGGGTCTGCCCATGTTTAGATAAATGACTTTTGGGGGGGGGGGAATTATATTACAGAATAGAGCCATTACCAGAGTAATAAGCTGACTGTAGGTTATATAAACCACAGTTCTGCTCAACCCTTCCAGGAGATTAACGGAGGACATTGGCGGGGTCTCCACTGCACGGCCTCCAATCACAACATCAAGGAAAGCAGCAACACAGCTCTGTTCAAACAGGAGAAACAAACCACTGTGAAACACTCTCCCTTTAAAGTAAGGGAACAACATTTCTGATTAAGACAAATAAGCACATAGAAAGCTTTTCTTCTTGAAAATTATATTAAACCCAATATTTGGGTTAAACCTAATATTTATATCAAATTGATATAAAATAATCAACAAGATAGTCTGGTATGTGAAATAAACATGAGGCAAACAGTGCACACAGTCCTACTACTTGTAATTAGGAAAACATATTCCTAAAAATATATTAGGAATATACATATAGACTTCTTGAGGGACACACAAAAGATTGATAATATAAAGAACCTTTAGAGGAGGAAATAAAGGTTAGAGATCAGAGGTGGAAGGGAAACTTCACTACATAACCTTTGAATTTTAATCTAGGTTGAATGTACAGCCTACTAAAAATACGATAAATTTTTATTTAGTTAAACCAACTGAACAATGCCACGTTAATTTATGAAATCCACTTAAAATTATGCAATCATTGCTGATTCATATATTCATAGACTTAATTTTGTAACAATTTTTAAAAATCAAACTTTAAAAAATAATCTTAACAGCTCTTTGGCTCTCATTACAATGGCATCGCCTCAACATTTCAGCAAGTGAGCATTAGTAATCTTTGATGACATCTTTCTTTAAATGCTACTGATCCGACATTGTATCCTCTGCAGGCAAACCAAGCATAATGAAAAAGAATATTTAATTTACACATCACTGAGAGATGAGATTTAATAATGAGAACAGGTAGGTTCACTACTATTTTAGCAGAACTTTCCATACAGAGTCCTTCACATGACATAGGATCCGCTCTTACTTTATCAAATTTTCCAAGGCTGCTCTTTGTCCGGGGATCTCCCTCTTCAGAGCCAGTCATTGCTAACTGCTGCAAAAGGCGGCCAACCTGCAACCCAGAACAGAGGTGGGAAGACGCAGGCTGGAGAGACAGTCCCCACTGTGAAAGCATCTCCATCCTACTCTAAAAATCTGTTTCATAAGAATATTCTCACCACATAACCAAGCATATAAAATGGGATCCCAAACAAAATATGCATCTTGACTCTGTCAGCTTTTACTGTATTTTAAGGACTTCCGTTTTTTAAATTTTTATTTATTTATTTATTTTTGGTTAGACTGGGTCTTCACTGCTGCACAGGCTTTTTCTCTCGTTGCAATGAGCAGGGGCTACTCTTGAGTTGCAGTGCGGAGGCTTCTCTTGAGGCAGAGCACAGGCTCGAGAGTGCAAGGGCTCAGGAGTTGTGTACGCACCAGCCGCTTCCCAGCAAGTGGGATCTTCCCAGACCAGGGATCGAACCCGTGTCCCCTACACTGGCAGGCAGATTCTTTACCACTGAGCCAACAGGGAAGCCCACTATATTTTATTATGTTTAGATTGAGTTATAATGAATAAGTAGAAAACTTTGCTTTGTCTTTAATGCATATTATATTGACAATAGGAAATAAAGGTACATGACCTTTGTTTCTGCTACTATACTTACCATATCTATAAAAACTTAATTTGTAAAAGCTGACAAACTATCTCAAGTTATTATTAAGTACTTTTTTCTATAGTTCATAAAGTACTCAAAGTAAAAAATTTTTTCTAGACTTGAAAGCAAATAATTTCTACAGAATATAAGCTGTTTTGAAAGTATTAACTCTCAGAGCCAGATCCTTACTGCCAAAAGTGAACTGTTAATCTACTCTCTAAAGATATTTTGCTGAAAGTTATTATCATATAGCATCATCTTCAAATCTGGGACAATCCCTTTTACTCATTTTGAAAGCATGTGATTCTATCTCTACTGGAATGACAAAAATAAAACTATAATGATGTTATCGTAAGAATAAATTTAGTGTTTCAGAGATGACAAAGAAATTCTAATTTTATTTCAGGGATGTATATGTAATTCCTAAACACCCCAACATGACAGAACTAATTGTGAAAAAAGAGCTTACCATTAAAAAAAAAAATCATCCAAAGATAAGATATATGCTATTCCAAATAAAATCTATCTTCTTCACAGTATTTCTGGGAATAACATATAATTAAAAGAACCCCCTAAGAAATAAAAACATGATTTCAGTAGTTCAGATGATTAGGGGAAAGAAAAGTGCTAACATAGATACGAAAATCCTCTTTTGAAAACATTTAGGTCCAGAAGAGTTTCAGATTTCAAAATCTGGAGATTTTAGAAAGGCTGGTTACATATACACGCAACATGTCCAGTATTTACGGTGGCATCCTATAATTAGACACATTAACATTCCCACAGCAAAACACAAATACTCATAACACTAAATGGACTATAAATAGCCTCCTGTTACAAGGATATACAATGGAAAAAAGACAACCTCTTTAACAAGTGGTGCTGGGAAAACTGGTCAACCACCTGTAAAAGAATGAAACTAGAACACTTTCTAACACCATACACAAAAAAAATAAACTCGAAATGGATTAAAGATCTAAATGTAAGACCAGAAACTATAAAACTCCTAGAGGAGAACATAGGCAAAACACTCTCCAACATAAATCACAGCAGGATCCTCTATGACCCACATCCCAGAATTTTAGAAACAAAAGCAAAAATAAACAAATGGGACCTAATGAAACTTAAAAGCTTTTGCACAACAAAGGAAACTATAAGCAAGGTGAAAAGACAGCCCTCAGATTGGGAGAAAATAATAGCAAACGAAGCAACAGACAAAGGATTAATCTCAAAAATATACAAGCAACTCCTCCAGCTCAACTCCACAAAAATAAATGACCCAATCAAAAAATGGGCCAAAGAACTAAACAGACATTTCTCCAAGGAAGACATACAGATGGCTAACAAACACATGAAAAGATGCTCAACATCACTCATTATCAGAGAAATGCAAATCAAAACCACAATGAGGTACCATTACACACCAGTCAGGATGGCTGCTATCCAAAAGTCTACAAGCAATAAATGCTGGAGAGGGTGTGGAGAAAAGGGAACCCTCTTACACTGTTGGTGGGAATGCAAATTAGTACAGCCACTATGGAGAACAGTGTGGAGATTTCTTAAAAAGCTGGAAATAGAACTGCCATATGACCCAGCAATCCCACTTCTGGGCATACACACTGAGGAAACCAGATCTGAAAGAGACACGTGCACCCCAATGGTCATCGCAGCACTGTTTATAATAGCCAGGACATGGAAGCAACCTAGATGCCCATCAGCAGACCAATGGATGAGGAAGCTGTGGTACATATACACCATGGAATATTACTCAGCCATTAAAAAGAATTCATTTGAATCAGTTCTAATGAGATGGATGAAACTGGAGCCCATTATACAGAGCGAAGTAAGCCAGAAAGATAAAGACCATTACAGTATACTAACACATATATATGGAATTTAGAAAGATGGTAACGATAACCCTATATGCAAAACAGAAAAAGAGACTCCGATGTATAGAACAGACTTCTGGACTCTGGGAGAAGGCGAGGGTGGGATGTTTCAAGAGAACAGCATCGAAACACGTATATTATCTAGGGTGAAACAGATCACCAGCCCAGGTTGGGTGCATGAGACGAGTGCTTGGGCCTGGTGCACTGGGAAGACCCAGAGGGATCGGGTGGAGAGGGAGGTGGGAGGGGGGACCGGGATGGGGAATACATGTAAATCCATGGCTAATTCATCTCAATGTATGACAAAAACCACTGCAATGATGTAAAGTAATTAGCCTCCAACTAATAAAAATAAATGAAAAAAAAAAAATAGCCTCCTGTTAGTTCAGGATAGGTTTTGCTACCAAAAGAAGTATAAAAGACCCTCTCAGTTTTTAATCATTCTGGATTGTGAAATCATGGGAAAGGGATGGTGGGCTTGTTCTAGAAAATGGAATCATCTAAATATTTAAAGTGTGTGAGGAATCCATTTAAAAACCAACACAAAACTTAAGAAGCAAATATCTAGGACACTTTGGGGGAAAAGAATGGTAAGAATATATGAACAACGTCATCATACTTTCCGTTTCCACCCCAATGCCCAATCAACTGATTTTATACGGAATGCCCAGCAAAAGCATACCTGCATCAGATTAAATCTCGCCACCTCATTAATGGGAGCATCAGAGATTATTCCATACTGTTCTGGATTGACAACTGCAGGACAAATGAAGCAGGCCAACAGGAGGTCAGTGCACATGGCCCTGACCTCCCCTACTTCCAGTCTGTCTACACAGGAGAGAGTTTTGTACATCTGTGACACAATCCACCTCAGACTATGTGGGAAGCAGTAAGTGTTCTGTTTGAGATAACCAATAAATTTGTTCACCAAGGCCACGAGTTTGGCCTCATTGGAATCCACCATCTCTTGAACCTTCTGCCTGAACCTGTCTGAGCCTTTCTCTCCAAAGAGTTTTTCCTGTTGAGCTGGGGAGAACCTCTCAATCAGCTTGTTTGGGTCTGTCTCCAGGTGATCTTCGTCTTCAACAAGCAGTTGCATGATTGGCTCATGTAAAGTAGCTGTGAGGAAAAGTTTGGCAGAAAACAGTCCTTCAGAGAAAAGCTTAAATAAGATGCTGAAGGCACAGGTTCCTCTCCTCAAAAGTCGTCTGGGGTTGTCACTTTCTTTAAGTTCAAATTCAATCAAGTATCTCAACACCTGAAGGAGGTAGCTTTCATCTTCTTGCATAATGCAGTTGCCATAGAGAGAGGTGAAAACTGTGTAAATGACACTCTGTGTGTTCTCCTGATTGAGTTTCTCTCCAGCAACCAAGGAGGAGGCAATAAGACGAGGATTTTCCCTTAGTCGACTCAAGAATTCTCCATAAGCAGTCTCCTGAAATCCCAGTTGCTTATACCCATCAACAAACTGTGTGTCTTCCAAAATCTTAGCATGTTGGCAACATTCAGCAGGGGAAGCTTCAGCACTTTAAAAAAAAAAAAAAAGAGCAAACAAGCAAAATAATAAAATTAACAACAATAATATAATACATATACTATACTGAAGCATGGAAATGTGAGTTGGTTACAGTTCCAGCAATGAGATCACTAGGAATTGCTAAAATCTTTCAGACCACCAGCACCTGAATATGTAAAGAAAGTCAAAACCAAAAAGTACAAAGGAGGACAGGTTTCTCATATTAAATCAGGTTCCATGAAAAATATTGAGAAATAACCATTATTCTGATTTCTATCATTGAAGATTGTTGCTGTTCAGTCGCTCAGTCATGTCAGTCATGTCCAACTCTTTGCGACCCCCATGGACTACAGCATGTCAGGCTTCCCTGTCCTTCACCATCTCCCAGAGTTTGCTCAAACTCATGTCCACTGAGTTAGTGATGCTATCTAACCATCTCATCCTCGGTCGTCCCCTTCTCCTCCTGCCTTCTATCTTTCCCAGCACCAGGGTCTTTTCCAATGCATCAGCTCTTTGCATCAGGTGGCCAAAGTATTAGAGCTTCAGCTTCAGAATCAGTCCTTCCAGTGAATATTCAGGGTTGATTTCCTTTAGGACTGAAGATTAGTCCTGCATCTTTTTGAATTTCATATTTATGGAGTCATATAGTATGTACTCTTCTATGTCTGTCTGCTTTTCTAGACAGTATACCACAGCATCACTATTTCTAAACTTAAAAACCGCTTCTTCAGGGACTTCCCTGGTGGTCCAGTGGTTAAGAATCCACACTTCCACTGCAGGGGGCATGAGTGCAATCCCTGGTTGGGGAACTAAGATCCCACATGCCCTGTGGTGCAGCCAAAAAAAAAAAAAAATTGCTTCTTGGAACAGTAGAATAAGGAAGTATTAACACAGTGAAAAGTGAGGTTTCTAAGACTGCAAAGTAGATATACAATAGCAAACCATGAAAATGTATTTTTAAAATAATATTAGGAGAAAAGTAGGAAATAAAATAACTTACTCTCTATAACAATAAAATGTTATTTAATGCCAATATACAAAATCAAATGGTGTGGTATAAAATATTAATGCTGAAGTTGTAATTCTCTACAACGGTGCTTAGATCAATATGTTAAGTAATAAAATAAGCAAAGACTCACCATTGGGATGCTGATTTAAGTTATCTTAAACAATGCACTTTGTTAGAAATATATTTGTTTATTTGCAGTTAGCAGTTATGTAACTGCCATAAGCAGAATTATAGCAGTTTATAAAATTTCTGAACTCAAAACCTTTTCTTTACCTGGTGATGATAAGCCGATCCAAATTAATTCTCTGTTGCTTAGCAATCCATGCTGTACGATACAACTTTTCGGCTGTCTTAAGTACATCTGCATTAAGCCTCTGAATGAGCTGTTTTTCAGAGTTCACGTATAAGCGTTCCTGCTTGAGGTGATGGGCCAGAGTATGAATATCTAGCTTCACCATCTTCAAATGTGGAGAAGGTACAAAGGCTGATCACTAAGAGTAAAAAAAAAAGAAAAAAAATTATTTTTATTTTCGGTCTCTCTGCTCAAATGTCTATTGAGAAAGGTCTTCTAAAACAACTCATTCTAAAACAGAGAAAATCACTTCTTATTCCCTTTTCTAACCTTTTATTAAGCATTTGCCCCTACTCAGCATTATATTACACGTATGTTCAAGATGCTTAGAGTGGGGCTTCCCCACTGAAAGGCAAGAACCGCCAAGAACAAGGCTTGTCTGCTTTGTTGACTTACAGCTGCAATTTCGGGGCTAAGGAGGGGGCTTGGCTCACGCCAGGAGGTAAAGAAGTATTTGCCACAGAAATGAATGAAATCACACAATTCTTGTTCATCTAGTAGCTAAACAAATGGATAAAAATAGCACACATATTTTACAGCATTATTATTTAAGCTATACCCTTGAAGCTGGAATGCCTGCCAGACCAAAAATGTTTTATATCAGCAATAGAAGCATTTGTGGCCCAGATAGCAGAATACAATGTTGTGTCCAGACAGCAGTCATTAAGTTAGAAAAATGTTTCTCATTAAGAATTAAACATTAGCAGTGGGGAAGGGAAGGACTGGGAATTTGGGATCAGCAGATGCAAACTATTACACACAGGATGAATAAACAAGGCCCTGCTGTATAGCACAGGGAACTATATTCAACGTCCCGTGATAAACCATAGTGGGAAAGTATACTTACATCTGAGTTACTTCACAACACTGTAAATCAATGTTGAATTTATACCTGCCTATGTTGAATTTATATTTAAATCAATGTTGAATCTATACCTGAATAAAAAATTTTTTAAAGAATTAAACATTAAGATTGTATACTTAAAAGCTGCTATGAGAAAGCTTTAAATGATCTCATAATAACAAGAAAATAGTAATTACATGAGGTAAAGGATGCATTATCTAACTTCACTGTGGCAAACTTTTGCAATATATGTGTACCAAATTGTTTATTATATAACTTAAACTTACACAATGCTATATGTCAATTACACTTCAATAAAGTTGGGGGAAGCTGTCCCCCTCCAAATAAAAACAAATTTAAAGAAATATATTAAAAAAATCTTTTAAAAAATGTTGTCCCAACCAATCAGACTCATAATGGATTTATTTGGAATTGATAAAATATAATTTGCAGTGAATTCAGATTTGGAAAGAGGAACCTAGCCCACAGAACTCTCAAAATGTTTATAGATCCAATGACAATATGTTTATAAAATGAAATAAATATTTTTGTGCTAAGACTTAAAAAAATACCAAGAATTAAACATTATGAGAGTCAATGGAAATATATTTAAAGCCACTTTTAAATTTAAATATCAAAACAAATTTAACAATTTTTAAAATAAGTTTGATTTCAGAAATTTTTAACCTTTATTTTAATGAACTACTGATTTCTAGGAAAGTTTCTGGTATTATCATCTAACCTGAATGTAATTGGTTTCAAAAAAACACTTTCTTGTACTTTATCAATTACCTAGCAAATTATTTCAAGTCTCTTGTATTAAGACCCTCAGACTGCTTTCCTCTCAAAGATTTTAAACATGTCTACTTCACCAAGATGATTTGCTATTAAGTCACAAAAGCATCCATGTACATTCAAAAAAACTGGTGCCAAACATATATAATCTTATTTGAGTCTAAAGAAAATACATATGACTTTGTAAACTTCCATGAGGGAATTCTAACATCCTCTAGGGGGCTCTAAATCCACAGACTAAGAACAGAATCATTGAACAGATGGTTTTAATTATGAGTATTATAGTTAATGAACATAAAACTGAAATGGGCTCTTAAAGATCTCTATGTTTCGTTAATAGTTCTGTTACCTTGGGTACATAATGCATATTCTCTAAACTTCAGGCTTTTTTCTCCATAACATGGACACAATACCTACATTTATTTTGTGCCTGGCATGAGCAACACATTAGGTACTAGGGATACCAAAAAAAAAAGATAAAACCTAGTCCTCAAGGACTTTCTAATCTACTAGAACCCCCGTTATATTAGACGTGCAAGTTAGTGGCTGTCCCAAAAGATGGGTAATATGCTGAAGGCTGTACAATGCAGAGTAGGGACAGAAGAGGAGTGACTAAGAAGTTAGGCACGAGTCTGGTCTTAAAAGACAAGGATTGGGCGGGGAGGCAGGGGTGGGACAAGAATTTGCCAGACAAAAAGGATCTTGGGAAGGGGTAGACTTCTAGATACAATCAAGCAAAAGCACAGAGGTGTGTGATATTCAGAGAACTACATGTGACTTCCTACAGTTTGGGGGCATGTGTGTTTGTGTGTGTTAAGAGTGAGGCTGGAGGCAGAGGACTCAATGTATAATGAGATAAGGCTGCAGAGACAGACTGCACACAGAAGCCAGTGTTAAGAAACTGGACTGGAGGAGATGGGGAAAGAGTTTAAATGGATTAACATGATTAAATTTATATTTGAGAACTCAAACTCTGGCAGTAAGGAGAAAGATGAGGAGATAGGGATGGAACTAGATGAAGAAACACTACGAACTTGTTGATAGGCAAGAAATATTGCAGTGGCAGTGGAAAGAATCGGACAGATGTGACAGATACTGGAGGCAGAAAACACTAGCTTGCTGATACATACATGGAGATGGCGAGGCAGATGTTTCCAACTCCGGTGACAAGGGTTGGCTGTGGTGGTGTACACCAGAATTATTATGTGAGAAAACACTTTGTAAACTGAAAATTGTGCCTGGTGTGGTTCTAAGAACTTGACACACTTCATCCTCACAACATCCCTCTGAGATAGGAACTCTGCAGCAAAGGGAATTAAGGCTCAGGGACATTAAGTAACTTGCAGGAGGCCAAGTGGGGGACAGGTGACAGAGCCAGTACATTCTACTGTTTCCCCTATCTCTACAAGAATGGCTCAGAAAAACCCTGTGGTTACACAGCACAACACTGTATTTTTCAGAGATGCATGCTCAGGCATGCAGAAGTGAAGTGTCAGGATATCTGGAACTCACTTGTACATGGTCAAAAGAAAAATTAAAAGATTTGTAAAACAATGCAGAATATAAACACTGTTGAATCTGGTTGGTGGGTATATGGTGATCACTGTACTACTCTTCAACAGTTTCTTTATGTTAGAAGTTTTTCATAATAAAATGATAGAGGAAAATATTTTGGCAATTCTCACACCGTACCTTTCTTGCTGGCTTAATACAACTTAACAAAATATCTTATCAACTATTGTTGAAACCTAGCCAGGTCCCCTAATCTCAAGGAGCTCACAGTCCAATTAGAACCAAAATTCTGTTCAAGATAGGATGCATAAAATGTTTCCAATGACATAGCAAAATATGAACCAATCCATGCAATTTAGAAGTCAAAACCTTCAAGTAGACCTTCACTTAAAAAAAATTAACACATGGCTGCAACTGAGACCGGGCATGGCCAAAAAAATAAATATTTAAAAATAAAAAATCACGTGAAAGTAATGCTCCAAATATTTGAACAAGAACTCACCTTCTAAACCCTTTGATAGCCCCAAATGTCTTCAAAGACATTTTTGTGAACATATTTTAAATAAATCCAGAACACTAGGTAAACTTGCTAAGCATGTTCTTTCAAGTTCATCAGACTATATGACCTACTACCCACCCTTACTGGTATCATGTACTACAGTCTCTCTCCTTCCCCTGCAACTCTCAAACTCCAATGATCATTTGACCCCACCAAGAATTTCAAGCCATTAAGCCTATTATATATATATTTTTTATTTTTATTTTATATATATATATATTTTTTTTTAAACTAACCTTCAGCTTCCTCCTGTCTCTGCTCCCCTCCTTACCCAACTAGCATAAACCCCACAGTCAGTCATTACGATCACTGGCCAAATGCGCTCTCAGTCTGCTCCATGCAAGCATGCTAAGTTGCTTTAGTCGTGTCCGACTCTTTGTGACCCAATGGACTGTCGCCTGCAAGGCTCCTCTGTACATGGGATTCTCCAGGCAAAAATACTGGAGTGGGTTGTCCTCCTCCAGGGGATCTTCCCAACCCAGGGATCGAACCTACATCTAGTACATCTACCTGCACTGGCGGGCAGGTTATCACTAGTGCTGCCTGGGAAGCCGGCAATTTGCCCCCTCACTTGACGAACCCTCAATTCCAGTTAAATCTAATGCCCTCCCAACTCCTAGTTTATACCTGTAAGGGAGAAAACCGGCACACACAACCACGCTAGTATCACTTCAAACTCATGATCACAACCCCACACGGGCCCTCACTGAGGCGTGGCACACGCATTGTTACCCCCCCAAGCCCTCCACCACTCCCCAATCCCTCAAGCAACCAATCTACACCATCCTCTCTCCTCACACCTCCAACCTCTTCCCCTCTCCTCATTCTCAGCCCCTTGCTTCCTACTTCACAGAAAACGGAAGCAGCAGAAGAGATTTTCCACAGGCTCCCTGCTTCAGCCTTTGCTCTCAGCTTATTCTCAACACAGTGGCCACAGTGAACCTAAGTGAAAGCCTGGGAAAGCCTAAGTCAAATCACATCATTGTGCTCAAAATCCTCCAAAAGCTTTTTTTCTTGGCTCTCCATGGTCTGTCTCTATCCCCCTTTAGCTCTCTGACTTCACCTCCTATTACCAGACCATATAACTTACCATCCAAACCAGGACACTACTGGGAATCAAAGCAGACACTATTAATAATTTCATCAAGAGACACAAAGAAGACACTAGATCACTCTCTTACCAACCCCCACAGTCATTCTATTCCAGCCAGATTCTCAAACCTGCCGGGCATACTGCCACCTCAGTATCTTCGCACCTGCTTACCACCCAGGTCTCTTACTTCCTTTGGGTCTCAGAGTCATCTTGTTCAATGAAGTCTTTCTTGTCCACCCTACCTAAAATTCCAACCCTCACTCTGTAACATGCTCATTTTATGTCTCCCTGCTTTCATTTTTC